CACTGCTCTGTTGTTTTTTAGTGATGCTCGATGGCTTTCAAGAGGTAAGGTATTAAAGAGAATGTTTAAGCTGAGGCATGAGGTGTTCTGTTTTTTAAATGGGAAAAATCACTCACTGGCAGACAGTTTCAACAACAAAGATTTTTTATTGAAAATGGCTTACTTTACAGATATATTTGAGAAACTAAATATCCTCAACACTTCACTTCAAGGGAATGAAGCAACTGTACTTTCTTGGAATGACAAAGCGAAGGCATTCATGAGAAAATTAGAGCTCTGGAGAAACAGTATGGAAAGTGACACACTAGACATGTCCCCTACTCTAGTGTCAATGGTACAAGACACTGATAATCCAGTGCTTCCAATGGACATAAAAAGCTGCCTACTTGATCATCTCATAATGTTGAAAGTTCATTTCGAAAAATACTTTTGCAATGATTTTGATAAATTTAATTGGATTAAAAATCCATTCGAAAATGCTCCTGGGCCATCATCTCTGAATGTAAATGAGCAAGAACAACTCATCGATCTCACTAGCGATACTTCATTAAAAAGTAAATTTAAGGAATTGTCTTTGTTGGAGTTCTGGATACATATTGGCAAGGAATTCCCAACTTTGAGCCAAAAGGCATTGAAGATACTGATTCCTTTCGCAACAACTTACTTATGCGAGACAGGCTTTTCTGCTTTGGCAGCTATAAAGTCAAAGTATTGTTCAAGGCTAAATATTGCTAAAGAAGTTACAGTGGCTATTTCTGATATTACACCACATTTTGATAAACTTTGTTCTCAAAAGCAGGCCCATCCATCACACTGAAGTTTGACATTTAAATGTTTGATTTTCTTTGCAGAAAAAAAATTAAATACTTGTTAGTTAAATATCGTTTCATTTCAATACATATTTTGGTTAACTGGAAGTGTTAAAACTAATTTTTATTGATGGCCTAATATTGTGATACTTTAATTTTGAGTAAAAAAACTGCTAAATAGTATGTATAAAAACACAAAATAAACTGAATAAAACGTCAAACACACCATGACTTCTATTTTGTTAAAAAGAAACAGGCTGGGGGCCTGAGAGTATTTTTTCTCTTGTCAGGGGGGGCTCAGAGGTAAAAAGTTTGAGAACCACTGATCTAAATGTGTAAGTATGTGGGATGTTCCCACAATAGGTGACCCAACGGTAATGGGATCAAAGAATGTGATAAGATGGTGTAACAATTTTCATAATGTCAATCTTAATATTCACCCTTGCCCACTGACAAGTTGTTGCTTTATTTACAGAATACACAATAAATACTGCAGACATACATTTATTACAAATTCATTAGTAAAAAAATAATTGGCAGTAACAGCTTATCAGGAAGACAAACTCAAGATTTATATTTCGGCCTTGTGGGTTATGACGCAGTGCAGTCCGGTAGGTGGGTATCCACCCACAAGACTACATGGTGTCATAATCCAGAAGGCCACAGTATGAATCTTCACCATCGTGAAAACCTCAGATCTCACAAATATAAGATATTCTCCGGAGAGGGAGATTTTCAATTCATGAATAACTTGCTGGCACCTAATGGTAATGAATGATAAGCCAGAACTTGGATCAAAATGTAACCCAATTTCTTAATGGAGCCAACTTGATATTTCAGTGTCATTTCTTATTTTAAAATGTCAAAGTTCCAACTCAGATCTACACATACCAAGTTCACTAATNAAAAAAAAAAAAAAAAAAAAACTACATATCATTAACAGAACTAAGGTTAATCAGAAAATGGGAACAGAGGTTTTTCTATTATTTTGACAGTGTAATGACTTCATATTACATAAGAACCTACATCTTCAGCCTTCATATTATGCATTAATATTATCTGAGGTTATGTCCTACAAATTTTATGTAGACAAAATCTGTACTTAGTTAAAAAACTAGTATTAGTAAGAGTAGTAGTCTGAAACACATTTCTGTGCTAAGGGTGACATTCTGGCATCTTTTGGTGTGCCCAATAAATTCTGGCCATTTATACCACTTAACTCTGCTGACGGGCTCGTGAGATCTTCTTACTCTTATCATTGGTCTTAGGAGGAGGTGGTCTATCTGCAGAAACATGGCGGTTGTACACACTATGACAAAAGAAGGGAAGTATTACACTATACAACTGACGCAGAATGAAATTATTTCCAAGTACAGTTATGTACTGTTCCCTTGATGATTATTTATGCAATCATGACAAGGAAGTCCAAAAGCACCTTACAGAGTGAAATAAAAAGTTGACATTTTTTCTTACATATAATGTATATCTTCTGCCTGGGCATATGCAATTGCAAAATGAGAACACATTCACACAGATGACAGGACAGTAGCAATGGGTAGCAACAGTAGCAACTTCAGATGCATACACTTCACCCTCTTATTGCTAAGTCTACCACAGAACTGGGGCAAGTGGTAGTGGAGTTGGTTGAGGCACTATGCTACAAGTCGGAAGGTTGCGGGTTTGAGTCCTGATGAGGTGGATTTTTTTCAGCTGACATAATCCTTCCAGCTGCACTATGGCCCTGGGGTCGACTCAGCCTCTAACAGAAATGAGTACCAGGCATCTTCCTGGTGGGTAAAGGGCAGCCGGCGCATAAGGCTGACAGCCTTGCTACTATCTGTGAGCTGACGTCTAGATTATGTGGGACCCTCAACGTCTCACAACCCTACAGGCTTCCATGGCCTGTTACAGGGATAGCTTTACCACAGAATTACCTGACAGAACGGGAAAGTCTGCCTGGAGGGTAAATGCAGTTGCATGGAAAAACCCACAACACTTTCCTCAAATGACCTCCAAACAACAAGTGCACATTATTTGAAGGCCTGTACTTTCCTCTAAACTAATATAAGAATAAAGAAGTGCTCTCTTTGGGTGTGGTGGCTGTAATGCAAGTTTCCTGAGCCGGTCTAGTCAATATGTGGCATGCAAAGGGTTATTAAGTTTTCCTGTTATACTAATGATTTTATTGAAATATTGTGTTTCAGGAAAACATCTCCAAGACAAACATATATCCATAATGAATTCCTATAATTTGTATTCAAAACATTTTTACCTTGATAAATACATGGCAAGAGATACCCAAAAATCTATTTAGATCCTGAAGGTAATACAGACTTTAAATGAATGCTAGTGAATGAATTTAATATATAGTAATACTTGTGTAACAGAAATACCATATACTGACTGCATAAAAAAGTGTGAAACTACAAAAAAGATAAACAGGTACCAGACCTCTTACCCAGCAAGCTTGGGATCCAAGCTGGATTTTACACATATCTAGTCCTACGCGTATACTGTATTTAAAATACACAGTAAATCACAAAGTCATACCTACCAAATCATCATCCACAATTGTGCTTTCAAGACTGTGCCTGTTCGATTTACATTCATAAATTAAACCTCATTTAAAACAATTCAGCATCTGGATTTGCAATTGGTGTAGAAACATGAGTAAGTAACCTCAATATATGGCCATGCCATAGCTCAAGCGGTTAGTCACTGGCTTCCCACCATGGCAGCCCGGGTTCAATCCCGGGTCTGGTCAAGTGGGATTTGTGGTGGACAAAGTGGCGCTGGGGCAGATTTTCTCCGAGTACTTCGGTTTCCCCTGCCAATCTTCATTCCACCAATTGCTCCACAATCACCCTCACCTATCATCTGGGTCTGGTACAATAGGCCAGAAGTGGCTGCAGTACAAGGGACTTAGTCCCACCCCACTAGCATTAAAAAAAATATATAAAAACCTCAAAAATCATAACAGAAACAAGTATACCTACAAAAGGGTATGCTTGAACTGAAGAGGACTACATGCCCCCAGCACATGACACATCAGCAGCTTAAATCCCCTAGAACAATCCTTGAGAGACTAAGTTAAAATCTGATAACACCATCAGAAAATATGTTAAATATTCAATACATAAAGCCTCAGAAATGCAAAGCAAATTTGTGAGGTCTTCCCTGTTCATTTATGGGAAGGAACAATTTAAATCTGCATCAACCAAATGTTACTTCAGATCAAATAAAACCAGTTATTTTATCATCACTCTAACATGGGTATCTTTTTAATGCACAGATGGAGATACTCACTATCTGTATGTTTCTGTGCGGATGTAATCCATCACATGGGACACTCCCACCTGGAGCTGATCTGCAATAGGTGTCACCCACGGGTTGTTCTCCATCTTCAGAACAGACTTGCTGCTGACCAGGTCAAGGTTGCCTGCAAAATGTAATGGAACCAAGTGATGATAATGAATGGGAAGTGTCAGCTGGAAAACAATTAGTGCACAGCATCAGAATCAGTCACAAGAATAACGTGAAGCAAAGAGTCAAACTGTTGCATCTGTACCTCAAAATGCACTTACTCAGGTGTGGTAAGAATTGGAATACTGGTTAAGACCTGTGCAGAGTGATGAGCAGGCCTCACACTGAACTTTACAATACAATACTACATACATAAGGAGTGGGCCTAATTACTGGCCCTTGCACTGCGACCTTTAATGATCTATTGTGCATACTCCTTCATGTTAACCCTTCAACAGTCCTACACTTCAAATAAGTGCAGGATTTTGCTTATGACAGTCATCAGGTTCCATAAAATAGTGGGACTGGTGGCAAAATCGTAAATAAGCTACAGCCACCCACTCGCATAGGATGTGTGTGGCTAATCACCTTTTTTTGAGGCACCTTTTGCACAGAGGACCTTCTGGCCGCACTATGGCCCTGGGGTTCACTCAGCCTCTAACAGAAAGGAGCACCAGCAATTAAATAAATAATTTTCCTAGGGAGTAAAGCGCGGCCGGCGCGTAAGGCTGACAGCCTTACTGCCATCTTTGAGCCGATTGTCTAGATAATGTGGGACCCTCAACATCTCGTAACCCTATGGGCCTTCATGGCCTGTTACAGGGATAGCTTGCTTGCTTGCTTGCTTGCTTGCACTGAGGACTGTTTGTCAATTCCATTTTGAAAAGGTGTCCTTTTTGGTGACAGTGTCCTATAACTAGACCTACCACCCACTGTAACTGGTTTCTATTTACACTTAGCAGTTTCTTGCCTCTTCTCGCAGTGTCCTTGTATGAGTCCCTCTTGCCTATTTGAATCCTGTAATGGATTCCCAGTGTTTTGTTATGGTCTCTGCTCAGGCCACGCCATAGCTAAAGCAGTTAGTCGCTGGCTTCCCACCATGGCGGCCCGGGTTCAATCCCAGGTCTGGTCAAGTGGGATTTGTGGTGGACAAAGTGGCGCTGGGGCAGGTTTTCTCCAAGTACTTCGGTTTCCTCTGCCAATCTTCATTCCACCAATTACTCCACAATCACCCTCACCTATCATCTGGGTCTGGTACAATAGGCCAGAAGTGGCCACAGTACAAGGGACTTAGTCCCACCCCACTAACAAAAAGAAGAATAAGAAATAATGGTCTCTGCTTGGCCCTGACAGCTTTGTTGGCAACTCATACTGAGATGCTGCAAGCTGGTTCAGGCCCTATGAACAGACATTTGGCTTTCAATTTTGCCAGTTGATCAACAGTTTTGTTACCAACAATACTCTCATGACCTGGCACCCACATCATTTGAACATTATTATGTTTGGCCAGCTCCATGAGGGACTGATAGCAGTCCCAAACCAATTCTGAGTTGATTCTAAATGGTTCTGATGATGGTGGATAACACTCAGAATTACTGGGGTTTTGGACTTTTCCCATCATCTGGAATTTTAGGTAATAGAGGATACAACGTTTCGGAAACCGTATCTGTTTCCGTCTTCACGTGAGAAAGGAAGACATCAGTCAGTTGGGCCCCTTAGAAAGACCTAATCTCAGTCATTCTGAGATTAGCTCTGAGTCTGAGCTTAGTGGCTGATAATCTAATCCCTGTTGTGAGTCATAAGGATACTTACCAATCTCTGGCGGCAAGACAGTGAGCCGATTACCCTGAATGTGAAGCTCACGCAGTCTACTGAGATCACCAACCTCTTTGGGCAGTTCCACAAGATCATTCTCACGAAGGACCAGCTGCAAAATAATATAGCAAATTCACATGTTTATTCCTTTGTAACGCTACTTATCAACCCTTCAAAGTTCAAAACATTTATTCATGAAAAGTTTTTAAATCAAAGAACGGATGTTAACACAAATACACAGTGATCAAAGTGCCATGCAATCCACTATAAAACTAATTATATAGAGCTTAAAACTGGTCCAGAATTAATTATATAAAGAGCTTAAAATTAGTATAAAGAATCCTGAACAAGATATGCATGCAGCATTGTTTCTTGCACACAACCTTGCAAAGGTTCTAATTTCTCTCAATCATCTATAGCTTGTGCTGGCTGCATGGACAGCTGAGGAATGTGGAAGTCTTATTTGCAAGTGCAATGGGTATCTATTGCCAACTATCACAAAATTTTACTTCACATGCCAGACTGACTTCATGCATGAATTTCCCTCCAGAACTTAATTCCAGCATCCATACCACAGAGGGGTGGAGGTAACATCTGTAAGGATGGATCTAGTCCATTGATGCCACAATGTGGGTCTCACACTGAAGATGGCATAACACTGAGATGCAGATCACCATGTTACAAACAATACTCCCAGGGCACCAAGAAGCATTCTTTGTATTTGTATTTTTGTCTCACAAAGAGCTCTGAAAATGGAGGGGGGGACATGTAGATCCCTAATTCTCAATGAAACAAAAGGGATACCAAAGGTAATAATACAAGCTGTAAAAACAATAACACTTTTACGAACTCTCTGACAGGGACAAACCTACAACCAAGAAAGATAACGCTCAACTGGGTGCCCATCAGTTCATGACTGGCTGAGCATAACTGACACGAATGACAGGCTACAGAGGAATTAAAAACAATGACATCACTGGTGAGTTGGTCAAAAAAGGACCTGATAAATGACCCAATATAGTTTGTACTCATTACTAGTTAAGTTCCCATTTAATGGAAAAAAAAATCTTTCCTCAAAAATAAGATCTAAATGTTTGTGACAATAGCATATTAATACAATTGTGGTGTTTCAGGACATTATCCATCATCCTGTTTTTGTTTAGAACAACATAAAATATTCCAGACTGGATTCTGTCTCTTTCTTCAGGTGGAATCTACTCAGTTGTCAATCAGTACGGCTAGTCCCTATCTGCAGACACCAACACGAACACAAGATAGGCTAAATAAACCAAGCCCAGCATAAACCATCTGCAAGAGTTAAGACAAACTAAAATCATTAAAAAAGAAACTCCACTAAAGAGAGACCTAGCACCTATGTTCATGCATTCCCAGAGACTAAAATACTCAATAATAAAGCCACTTTATAAAAAAGGGGATAAAAAATTAATATCAAATTACAGGCCTGTTTCTCTGCTAACATCATTTTCTAAAGTAGTTGAGAAAGTTATATTTGACTGATGAATCATTTGAATAAGTATGCTATTCCTAGTCCAAGTCAATNTTTGGAGGATCTTGGCCGTGATGAGATCAAACCCGGGGGAAGTTTTGGGTTTGAGGGTGTTGATGATGGTTAGGATTTCAGATTGTTTGAAGGGCTTGGGAGGGGGTTCCAGTTGGTAAGGAATATCCAAGGGACGGAGTAGGTTAATTTCGTCTTCGAGAGAGATGCTGGGTGGATGGGGATGGAATACAGTTGAAAGATGGTGAGCGAAAATGAGAGCTTTTTCTTTGTTGGTTCGTGCCCAAGTGTCTTGAGGTGTTCTGATTGGTGGTAAAGAAATGGTGATATGTTTGAATCTGCAAGAGTTAAGACAAACTAAAATCATTAAAAAAGAAACTCCACTAAAGAGAGACCTAGCACCTATGTTCATGCATTCCCAGAGACTAAAATACTCAATAATAAAGCCACTTTATAAAAAAGGGGATAAAAAATTAATATCAAATTACAGGCCTGTTTCTCTGCTAACATCATTTTCTAAAGTAGTTGAGAAAGTTATATTTGACTGATGAATCATTTGAATAAGTATGCTATTCCTAGTCCAAGTCAATATGGCTTTCAAAAACATTTGTCCACGGACAATACTGTTTATGCCTTATTGAATGAGGTTTTAACTGCCTTAAATAATAAATCTAGAGTCAAGGGAATTTTTTGTGATATTGAAAAAGCGTTGGACTGTGTAAATCATGATATTCTTCTTCATAAACTAGAAATATATGGAGTTACAGGTTCAACCAATAAATTATTTTCGCAATTTTTAAGTAATAGATACCACGGTGTAAATTTAAAAGATAAATCAAGTGGTCAGATCTTAACATCAAATTGGTCTAAAATCAAACATGGTGTACCTCAAGGTTCAGTCCTGGGACCTTTGTTATTTTTGCAATATATAAATGATTTCCCAGTGGCCATTAATAAGTTATCTATGCCTATTTTATTTGCGGATGATACTAGTCTAATAATTACAGACAGAAACACAGATAATATAAACGCTAAATTAAATATGCACTTTCAAATAGTGCACAAATGGTTTAAATCAAATTTGTTATCTATTAATTTTTTAAAAACCTATTGTATGCAGTTTAAAACAAAAAACACTGTATCAACTGATACTATATTGACCTATAATAATAATGTCATAACTGAAGTTTCCCATATTAAATTTCTAGGTTTAATAATAGATGATACATTGACTTGGAATCTGCACACAGATAAGCTTATGAAGGGATTGACCAGAGTGTGTTATATGATTAGAGCAGTTAAACCCTATATGTCCTCTACTTCATTAACAATGATCTATTATTCTTTATTTCATTCTGTTTTAGCTTATGATATTTTATTTTGGGGTTTATCGTCAAGCAGCGATAAACTCTTAAAGCTGCAAAAAAGAGTTGTACTTATAATGACAGGTCATGGGAATAGGACTTCATGCAGGGCTCTTTTTAAAAAATTGGAAATATTGCCACTGAAATCACAATATTGTAACGTGTTTAGTTACTGAAGACGCCGTTCTGATTGTTAATTGGTTTATTTAACAACCTACAAGTCGTAACTACAATTGATTATAACACTGTTGCAAGGTTTCACACTTTATAACCCTATTCGCAACAATCTGTTCACTCTATCTTCAGTAGTCTACACGTATTCACAGTACGGGAGCTATATAAGTGTCACTGTGTTACACACTCCCAATTACTTCTCAGTTATCACAAACTATCACCGATTATCACACACGTCCGGTTCTTCTTTCCATGACTGCTGCTAGCTTCCAACTGTGTTGCTCCGGCTCACACACTAACTCTCGCTTGCTGCTCAGCCAGCTTTTATTCCGTTCGCTGTTGCCTGTGTCAACAGTGGCGTTGCGTGCCACGTCACAGTGCGGGGTGGGGGGGCGGAGCGCTGACTCACCTGCTACGTCACCGTGACCAGAGCTGCCCGTGTCACCGCTGGGGAGGGAGGGGGTGTCCTCCATTGCGCAACACGTCACAATATATTTTTTCTATTTTATTATTTGTGGTAAAGAATAAAAAACTTTTTATTACAAATTATGACAGCCATAATGTGAAGACCAGAGAAGGTGAAAATCTTCATTTTCCTCTCTCAAGATTAACTACATATCAAAAGGGCATATATTTTAACAGTATTAAAATTTTCAATAAATTACCTTCTTATCTTAAAGAGTTGATTGGGTCACCTAAAAAATTTAAGATAACCCTAAAAAATATCTGGTTTCTCATTGTTTTTATAATTTGGAGGAGTTTTATGATATTAATTTTTAACTATTTTGTAATCCTTTTGATCTATGTGAAATATTATGTATATATGATCTTTTGTCTTTTATGTTTGACTTTTTCCTGCATTAATTGCAACATGTTACTTTGCATAGTTGTGAAATTTTTGTTAGACAATGTGCCCTATTGCACAGCTGATCACATATATTTTTCTGTCATGTATTTGTTGGACAAGTACAATTTTGCTAGGCTGACTCTATATTTTTATTGACGGTAACTACATCCACTGAAATTGTAATTTCTTATGGATCTATGGTGGCCTAATAAATACAATACAATACAATATACTACTATTTCACAGCTTCCATTGTTAAAATCAGAGTAATATCAACACATAAGTCACCACTGGAGAGATAAATTCTTTGTGTTGTACCAACATAAAAGAACTAATTTTCCCACTTAATCTACACTTGACAGAGTTGTAGTTTTCTGACGTCTACTGTGATAATTGGAGTCCAGATGGCTGAGATGTCCAAGCTGGATTGACCAACTGGACAATCTACCAGAGACATGTGGACAGTTTCCTTGTATTCCCTGTAGGTGGGGTTTGGTTCAATCTGCAAGACCTTCCATTGTTTCCAATGAATTTTCTGTCCTTCTTCATGCACATGTTGGACTAATTTTGATTTTTCAAGTAGTCCTTGGGTCAGGTCACATTTGTGCTCCTTAATGAATACTTCCAAATAGGGTCATTACTAACCCTAGGTCTGCTGATTATGAATTCAAGGCTTCTTTAATATTTAAAAACATAAATGATTGGTTTCAAGATAATTTATTGTCATTAAATTTTGAGAAAACACATTTTATTGAATTTCTGACTAAGAACCGCCAGCCGATGGATATTCATATTGATGATGATGATGATGATCGGATTGTTAACACTACAAATACTAAGTTTTTGGGGCTTATTATTGATAACACATTGTCTTGGAATGGACATGTGGATAGGTTAATGTCTAAATTGGGCTCCGCATGTTACGCAATTAGAGCCCTAAAATCTTACATGTCTCAGGGTACATTAAGAATGATTTACCTTTCTTACTTCGATTCAATTATGACCTATGGTTCGGTTTTTTGGGGTAATTCCCCTTATAGTATTCATATCTTTAGGTTGCAAAAAAAAAAAAAAAGGCAATTAGAATTATAATGAACTCTGGGAACAGAGATTCATGTAGGGAATTGTTCAGGGAACTGGAAATTTTACCCCTTCAATCTCAGTATATATTTGCTCTTGCAATGTTTGTAGTTAATAATAAAGATCAATTTAAGTTAAATTCTGAGTTATATAATAGGAATACAAGGTATAATAATAAATTCCATTATCCTACATGTAAGTTGACTGTATTTCAGAAAGGAGGGAGTGTATTACCATGGTATTAAGGTTTTTAATTGGCTTCCTCCTAATAAAGGAACCTGGCTCAAGATGTTAAACATTTTAAAACTGTTTTAAGAAGATTTTTGTTGATGAACTCGTTTTATTCTTTGGAAGAATACTTTGATTGTAAATTTGACTCCAATAATCAACTGTGATTATGGTACTGAATGTCTTATATTGTTATTTATAGTATTATTATTTCTATGTAGTGTTATTTGTATTATCAATGACTAATTCCTTATCCTATATGTAGTGGATTTATTGAATGTAAATAAATGATGATGATGATGATGATTTCATGTATGGAGCTGGTTGTTGGAAAGTTTTGATATAATCTTTAAACATGACACAAAAAAATAATAAGGCATGGGTCAATTTAAGCTCCTCTTCCAGTAATCCTTGCAAGAAAAGATACATCAGCAGTCTTAGACAAGTGGGAATTTTACCACTACACTTCAGGAGATTAAACTTTCATGTGACATGCAAGAAACAGAATAATGCAGACTATGAAGGTTCTGAAAATTGTATACAATGAGCTAAACAATCTTTACTGTAGGAAGAAAGTCGTCTTCTGGGTTTACTGTAGGAAGTTTACTTACTATCTGGAGATTCTTGAGCTGTCCAACTTCTGCTGGCAAGAATTCAAAGTCATTGTCACCAAGGTACAAGGCACGCAGAGTTTCTGAAATTGAGGCAGGTATTCAACAGTAACCAATACTACTATTCTTCATAATACCATATACTTTATGAACTCCCCAGCACCTAAATAGTATCTGCAAAACCTATTTCAGATTAACACATGTGTCACCCAAAAAAGGACAAGTTCTTGCTGAAGGACAGATCCTTATATAACAGCAAATTTCTAGGGTATTTATATGTGATAAACAAGTAATAGATGTATATCTCATGTATTGTTTTTAAAAATACTGTACTTTTTAAAACATTACACAATTTACCATTGGACTAAATCAGGCAAAGGGATTTATATCAGGACTCTGCCAGAAGAACAAAGGACCTGTTGAAATTAAACAGAGATCAATTAAGATAGGTGGTAGGATCACTTACCGGATACTGCCACCTAAAAGGACACCTTTTCAAACTGGGACTGATTGATGACCCAACCTGTGAAAGGTGCCTACAAGAAGATGAATCAGCCACACATATCCTGTGTGATCGTGAGGCCATAGCTTATTTAAGATTTCACTACGTGGGTCAGTTCTTCATGGAGGCAAGTGACTTTTATGATGCCCCCATAAATAAGGGCCTACATTTCATTCGAAGCGTAGGATTAATAAATGGTTAATCCAAAGGAAAGAACAATCATTGAAGGTCACAGTGTGAGGGCCGGATTTTATGGACCACCCCTTACACACACATACACACACCNTAGTTACCAAATGAAAAATTGAGAGATGTGCACAGACAGACACAGAATATTTCTAATTAATTAATTTAAATCCATGCTACTGTGTTTCAAGCTGGGAATTATTAAATATTTTAAACATTAGATAAGTTGGTAAAATTATCCCTGTGCTTAATTAAGCTCCATGCCATGAAGGTGTCTGTTGGATTGAATGAATACATCCACGTTTTCTTGACCTTAGCACTACTTCGAGGTGAGTGGTCAGCTTCACACCCCAGTTGTCTTATACCTGGGGAAAGTGCCCTCAGTACCCACTGGCTAGGAGGCTGGGTAAAAAGGTAAAGCTATCCCTGTCATCATCATCATCAGTAATCTGTCAAGACGACAGGTCCACAGTCTCTTTCAAAACAATTCCTCCACTTAATGCGATCTAGAGCTTTCTCCTTCAAATGACAGTATCCTCTTCTGTCCCCAAGGTCATCCAGCATCTTCTTACGTCTTCTTCCTCGTCTTCTTGTCACTTCTATCCGCCCATCTATCTTTCCTTCGATAGCTTCTTTTAGAAGGCAGTTTCTGCGTAAAACATGACCAATCCAATTAGCCTTCCGTTTTCTTATTTCATGTAGGATATTCCTCTGCTCACTGACTCTAATTAACACTTCTTCATTTCTCACATAATCGGTCCAACTGATCTTCTCCATTCTTCTCCAACACCACATTTCGAAACTTTCCAGATGTTTCTGATCTACTGCCCTAAGTGTCCATGTTTCAGCCCCATACAGAGCTATGCTCCAAATGTAGCATTTCACTAGTTTCTTCCTCAAATTTAAGTCCAATTTGCTGGTAAAAAGATTCTTCTTCTTGCTAAATGCAGCTTTTGCCATGGCAATCCTGGATTTAATTTCACAAGTACACCTTCCATCATCTGTTAACAAGCTACCCAAATATTTAAAACATTTCACATTCTCCACTTGTTTTTGGTCTATCTTTATTGTGACTGGGGTTGGTTGTCTCGAAATTTTCATTACTTTTGTTTTCTCCACATTCATTTCCATGCCATAGCACCTTCCAATTTCAATTAGTCTATCAATCATGCCCTGTAGCACAGTTTCTTCCTTAGCCATTAACACAAGGTCATCTGCATATTTCACAGTTTGAATAATTTGCCCTCCTACTTTGAAGTCACCGAGCCCATCCAGAGCTTCCTTGGTAAGGCATTCGCTGTACAAGTTGAACAGAATTGGTGATAAACAGCATCCTTGTCGAACTCCTCTTCCAATCTGCACACTTCCTGTCTCCCCCCTGTCCAGTCGTACTCTAACTTTCTGATCCATGTACAATTTGCTAATCAATCTTCTTTCATGCCAATCGATACCTGTTTCTTTCAGGATCTGCATTAATTTGGTCCAGTTTACCCGGTCAAATGCCTTCTGCCAGTCTATGAAGCAAACACACAGTTCTTCATCTATCTCCAAAGTTCGTTCCGCTATAATTCTCATCATCCCAATTGCATCCCTGGTTCCTTTTCCTCTTCTAAATCCAAACTGATCTTCTCCAAGTACATCCTCTATTTTCCTTTCAATTCTTCTTTTAAGTATCTTTGCTATTATCTTTGCTGTATGTGCAATAAGACTTATTGTGCGATGGTCGCTGCATTTTGTAGCTTTTGTCTTTTTCTTTAAGGCAATCATTGTAACTTCTGTAAAGTCCTTGGGCCACTCTCCACTTTCATATATGGTGTTCATTAGTTTTGTCAGTGTTTTCAAACCACCTTCTCCCAGTAACTTGAGCACATCTCCAGGTACATCATCATCTCCTGTAGCCTTTCCCTTCCTCATTTCCTTGATAGCTTTTTCCACCTCACTTTGTAAAATATATGGTCCTTTCTCGTCTGTATCTACTTCTTCTTCCGGTTCAACTTCTAAGGTTTCTGGCCGATTAGGTCGATCATATAGTTCTGAAATATAATTTTCCCAAATTTTCAGCACTTGCCTCTGATCTACTATTCTATTCCCCTGGGAGTCTTCGATGCCAACATTTTGAATCCCATGATTCTCTTTCCATCCTAGTTCTTTTGTCTTCATGTACATCAAATCATAACGGCCTGTTCTTTGAAATTCCATAATCTCATTACATATCTTCTCAAGATATTCCTTTTTGGCCCTGTCCGTGGCTCTTTTCAATTCATTCCTCAGTCTCCTGTATTTCCTCCTGCCTTCTTCATTGTTGACATTCTTCCATTTCCTTCGCTCCTCCATTTTACTCATCATCTCCTGTGTAACCCATGGTTTTCTTGCTATCTTCCCCACTTTACCTACCAAATCACTGATAGTATCTAACATGCATTCTTTTATATCGTTCCACTGCACTTCAGCATTTCCGCTTTCACCTTCAATTGCACCGAGTTTCTCTTCTAGAGTCTCTTGCACGCTTTGTCTTTGAGCTATCCCTGTAGCAGGCAAGAAAGACTTGTAGGGTTGTGACACATCAAGGCTCCCACATTATCTAGACAATCGTCTCACAGATGGTGGCAAGGTTTTCAGCCTTATGCATGGGCTACCCTTTACCCCGCAGGAAGATTCCTGGTACTCATTTCTGTTAAGAGGCTGAGTCGATCCCAGGGCCACAGTGCAGCTGGTAGGATTAGGTAAACTGAAAAAAAAAAAATCCAACGACCTCACTGCGACTCAAACCTGCGACCTTCCGGCTTGTAGCATAAAGCCTCAAACAACTGCAGTACTGTGTGCCCCCTGGGAGGCTGGGTGGGCACAGGAATCGTTCTGAACGACATGGAGAGGAGAAAAATCTTGATCCTACCAGGACTAGAACTCTGAAATCTCTGTCATCCTGCCCATAGCGAGCAGCTATACCAACTGTGCTATCTCAGCAACTTACAAAAAACACAATGCTTGTAGTTTCTAGGCTTCTTCCTGGCCTAAAAGTTTGAAAAATATGAAAACCCACCTGCAGAATTATATATCCCTGTCTCTAATATCATGCATTAATATCATTCATTAAAGAAGCCAAACAGAATAACTATAACAGCCAAATTCTAAAATCAAACAATAAAATTAAAACCACCTGGGATATTGTGAAAGTTGAATCAGGAAAGAAATCTGTTAAAGAAGACGTACAAAGTTTGAATATTGAAGGGAAGTCCACTAACAATCCACAAGCTATCGCAAGTGCATTTAATGAATATTTCCTTTCATTAGCTGAGAAAACATATTCCAATAATAATAATAATAATAATAATAATAATAATCCAATATACTATCTGTCACGTGCCTTTAACAATTCATTTCCAAATATAAATCTCAAATTCTCAACAAGGAAGGAAATTGAAAACATTATTAAATCCCTTAAGCCCAAAAATTCACATGGATATGATGAAATCTCTACCAATTTACTTAAAGCAAGCTCTGTTTACATCAGTTCACCCTTGAATCATCTATGTAATAAATCTTTATCATCAGGTACTTTTCCTCAACGCTTAAAATACGCTGTAATGAAACCACTTTTTAAAAAAGGAGAGAGAAAATGCATCTCTAATTACAGACCAATATCCATATTGACTTCATTCTCAAAAGTCTTTGAAAAAGTTATGTATAATAGACTACTTGAACACTTAAATTCTAACAACATATTAGTCAAAGAGCAATTTGGATTTAGGAAAGACCTAACAACAGAAAAAGCAACCTATGAACTAACTAACGATATTTTAAGTGCTCTCAATGACAGATTAATTGTGGGAGGGATTTTCTGTGATCTAGCAAAAGCTTTCGATTGTGTTAATCATGATATCTTACTATCGAAATTAAATTTCTATGGAATAACTGGCAAAGCTAATGAATGGATCAAATCATACCTCAAAAACAGGTATCAAAGAGTTGAAATAAATAATAAAAACTCCAGTCATAATGCATTTTCAAACTGGGGAATTATAAAGCACGGTGTTCCACAAGGATCAATTTTAGGTCCCTTACTTTTTCTTCTCTACATAAATGATCTATCTAAAACCATCAACAATAAATCTAAACCAATTCTATATGCAGATGACACTAGTATAATATTTAAGAACTCTAAATTTGAAAACTTTAAAAATGACATAAATATTGTATTTGAAGCCTTAAACAGATGGTTCGAAGCCAATTTACTCTCATTAAATTTTGATAAAACCCATTACATATCATTCACAACTAAAAACAACCACCAAATTGATCTGGACATCAGTTATGCCAACAAATTAATCTGTAAAGTACTTGATACAAAATTCCTTGGAATACATGTAGACAGTACACTGTCTTGGAAAATACATATTGAACAAATTATACCTAAATTAAATGCAGCTTGCTATGCGATGAGATCAATTAAGCCTTTTATGTCACAGGAAACATTGAAGATGGTTTACCATGCCTACTTTCATTCTATTATGAACTATGGATTAATATTTTGGGGGAACTCTTCACATAGTGTAATAATTTTTAAAATACAAAAGAATATAATTAGAATCATTACAGGATGTAGAAGTAGAGATTCATGTAGAGAATTATTTAAGAAATTAAAAATTCTACCTCTTCAATCGCAATACATATTATCGCTTCTCTTATTTGTTGTTTACAACAAAGATAAATTCAAATTAAATTCTGATGTCTATAACATGAATACTAGACAAAAATATAACTTCCACCTACCCTCATCAACTTTATCAGTATATCAAAAAGGAGTCTACTTTACTGGCATAAAAGTGTTCAACAATCTGCCACAAAGTATTAAAAACTTGGGCAATGATACTAAAAAGTTTAAATCAGAGTTAAAGAATTATCTACATGCTCATTCCTTCTACTCTTTAGATGAATACTTCAATGTAAATAGAGAATGATGTAAAATTAAGTTATATTAATTTTTAAGCTAAAATTGCCTGTACTTATGTATGTAACCTTTTGACTTGTTCTGTATCCAAAGGTACTAACCTACTTAGGATTTATAGAATGTAAATAAATTCAATTCAATTCAATGAGGAAAATATTATTTATAACATTTAAAGATGTTAAAAATTTCAACATTGCAGAAAAGGAGCCTGAACCCTTGACATTTCAAAATCTGTCCCAAATCCCAACTGAACTAATGGCCTAATTACAGTGTGATACAGGTCAAAATGCTCTTTCTGAAACAAACAAAACTCCAGATTCAAAACCAGCTTTTGTCATAATTTGCCAATCTGGCTAAAAATAAATAAAAATAAAGTCCCCCCCTTAACCTAAGTCCATCATTCTTCATACACTTCTGAAACAGGTGACCTTCGGCACAACATTTCTTTCAACTAAGAACAGTCCTTCTTCTTAAACATTTCTAATAATTTAAAACCAATCTCTTTCAACACTTCACGAAAATTCTTTGCCTCCAAGAAAATTAACTTCTCCCAGTGTCACTAATAGAGATCTCAATGTCTCAACTCATTTGTTTTCATGTCAAAGCTGTTGTCTGCCTGACTACACATAAGCCACAGCCATCGTGCTTCATTTTTTGAGAACTCGGCTTGTAACTGTTATCAGGTGACTTTAATTCTTCACTCCTGCCTTCTTTCATTTTGCATACAGCGGCTTCTGATAGTCTGGTCACGCCAGTAGTACTGTTCTCAGCAGGGTGTGTCAAGTTTTCCCACTTGACTACTGTTGATCAAAGAACTATAAAAGTTTCTTAATATCTCAGGCTACACCATGAACAGTAGATTACATTTTATTCTTTGAAGGAGAAGACATCATAAGGTCATGAATATTTACACTGATATTTACAACACACTCCAAGAAAAATTACTGTTCACATTGTACAGCACAACTTGTGCTGTCTGCGTGAGGCCTGATTATATATTTTATTGGACCAAGGACGTATGATGTGTAGTCATCATGAATTTGTAATGTGTGTCATGTTTCATATCCAGTCCTACAGGAAAATGATTGGATCCATGAATTGAAAATAAATGTAAATGTAGATACAACATGGAAAGTCCATGCAATACCACATTCTCAATACAGGGACCTCTTCCTTCCCCCATGAGAAGAACTTCACCTGGATCACACTCTTTTTGCATTTAAAGCTAATGTATGTCAGGTAATGAATGTATCCAGTCACGAGTGACAGGTGCATTTAAGGGTCCCAAAACCATTAAGCATACAATATGAGTAATAAGATGTCAGTCCTACCCATCATGAAAAAGTTCCCAGGTAACGTACTCTCGTCCAAATTGTTGTACGTTAGATCCAATACTTCCAGCATAGGAAACGTTCCAAATCCTCGAGGCAGAACTCCCAAGCGGTTCATACTGAAAGGACAAATTTGGAGAATTTTTACTAATCTTTTTGACCCATATAAACCACATCCTGGAAGGACTAGCTACAGGAGACTCAAACCATGGACCTCTAGTTCTCCAATGGATTATTATCTGTGAGACTATGTTAAAGATAGGCCACGCCATAGCTCAAGTGGTTAGTCGCTGGCTTCCCACCACGGTGGCCCAGGTTCGATCCCGGATCTGGTCAAGTGGGATTTGTGGTGGACAAAGTGGCACTGGGGCAGGTTTTCTCCAAGTACTTCGGTTTCCCTTGCCAATCTTCATTCCACCAATTTCTCCATCATCATAATCACCGAGGGCAGGTACAATAGGCCAATCAGTGGCCGCCATGCCACCGCAGTGGCCCAGGTTCAATCCTAGATCTGGTCAAGTGGGATTTGTGGTGGACAAAGTGGCACTGGGGCAGGTTTTCTCCAAGTACTTCGGTTTCCCTTGCCAATCTTCATTCCACCAATTGCTCCACAATCACCCTCACCTATCATCTGGGGCTCGTACAATAGGCCAGAAGTGGCCGCAGTACAAGGGATTTAGTCCCACCCCACTAGCAATAAAAAAAGAGACTATGTATAATAAACAATTTCCCCACAGTGACTTATTAGAAGCCTATATTTGATTTGCATTAGGCTTGTATTCACTGTTGGCCCTTTCTTTTGTCAAAATATAACAGCAATGATAACCAAAGTTCACTGAGCACAGTAAAACACAATATTTGATTTGTCATAATTTAATCAATAAAAATAAAGCATAAAATCACTCTTCTAATTAACTTTCCTTATGAAAGCCCTATACTTTGTTTGATTAGCGATTTCATGAACAAAGAAATTTTTAAACAGTCTTAAATGGAAAACTGATCAACTATATCCTCACAGTTTTATGAAAACATATTTTAAGAAACATGAGTCATAACTTGACAGTAAAGGAATTTTCACAATACTCACCCAACATTTAGGATGCGTAACTTGGGCATAGAAGACAATGAGGTTGGAAGCTCTTCAATTTGATTATTGAAAAGATTTAAGATTTCCAAATTAACCAGATTTGCAAGGCCAGGTGGTACAACTGAAAGGTAATCAGTTGACTGCATTATCTTTTAAGATCAAAATTGCATTCATAAAGTTTCTAACTAGACCCTGAAAATGATTAGGAACTGTAATTATAGCAAACAAGTGTCTTAAAGAGTTGAATCTTTTGAGTTGTAACACTGTACAGTTTGGAAAAACCTCGACATTTTGGAGGAACATACCGCCTACAACTAACTAACAAGAAGCGGGTGGCATACAGAGCCAAGTTGGCTCTGCTAACTACATGGCATTACATCCCACAAGACTGTATGGTTTATAGTCACCAATGTGTGGACCTAAAATCCAAAATGTTTCCTAGATCATAAGGCAATGAAACACTTCACATATACGTAGGTTGTCAAATAAATCTGTTCAGATGTTGTTCTGGTTGAAAAATAGGGACCTTTTGAAAACAGTAAAGCCCGAGTATTTAGAAGTGACAGTCCAGGAAAAGCTGCGCAGTGGATGGGCAGGTCCATTTGTGAAAGTTGAGGGGTGTTGTGATTTGTCATTCGTTTCTTTATCTATATTTGTACACGAAGTAAATTGAGTCAAAAAGTGTTGCGTTCACAATCAGGAGAAATTATTAGTAATGTATAGAAGTATATGAAAGAGGCTGGGCCATCAATTACATTGAAGAACATAGGAGTGGAAGCAGCAAAGGCAACAGGTGTATCGGAAAGTAGAGTCAAAAGAATAATAAGAGAAACAAAAAATATCGAATCTGGGGCTTCCACTTCCTTTTCGACACCCCATAAAGAAAGACCTAGGAAATCTCCACTAGCCACTTTGAGCATTGAGCAACAATTAATGGCATGGGAAGGCCTTTTGGATGCAGGATGGGAGTTCGCCTTCCATGTTGAAGGTAACAGTGATGACAGTTCTGATGATACCTCCGATTCATCTGGTGGTGACAAGGAAGGACAGGCATGTGGAGATCATATGTATGCAGATATTGCCGGTGCTGCCCCTTTCAAATAGACCTGTGTAATATGTAAATAAACTCTTCATGTATATAACAATGAAAAGTGTATAATAGTGTATAGTGTACAGTAGTGTAAAGTGCATAATAGTCTGCCATTCGGCACTTAAAACTTAACATCAGATGTGCAAACATCATCGAGACTAAACCGCCAACACTATGCAACACAATGAGGTAAGAAGTTATTTCCTTTTGAGAATGCCTGTACTGCATTCCCTTCCACACTTGTCAGCATGCTGGAGCTCTCCCCGCCACTACCAACACTTCTCCTACTCCGCGTCAGAGGACTGTCACTTCTAAATACCCGGGCTGTAACCATGGGTGTTGAGACAAACGTCCCATCAATGCAACTGATCCCCTACACAAAAACTCCCTGGGCTCCTGTTGGAATCACTGCACCCCACCGAGCCCTTTAAGTGTCCATCCAACCCAAATCTACAACCCTTTCAAACTTGCTTGGGAATAAAGTTCCTGGACTGTTATTGTTGTAACTGCCTCGGTTAAAGAGGTTGAGAGGAGAGACCAAGGTCACACTTCGCAAGCCTATTGCATCAGTCTGCCAGGTGACACCACACTTTGATTTTATACAAGTGCTTTTACAACTTTGTGTGAAGCTCGGTAAATCTGGTACCGAAACCCTGATAATGCTTTGTGAGGCTTCTGGAGAACATTCTTTAAGCTCGACAGTGGTTTTTGAATGGCATTCATGTTTCAAGGCCGGTCGAGTGTCAGTTGAAAATGATGAACATTCAAGGCGAACAAGCACCAGCAAAACGACATAAAATGGTGAAAAAATTCAGAACTCATCCACAGAGAAGATCGCTGAACAATCCATGAGCTTGCAGACACCATTGGGATCAGTTACGGAGTTCGTACGAGATCTTCACAGAAAACTGGAACATGCACTGCACTGCACTGCCATGAAATTTGTTTCCCAACTCTTGACACATGATCAAAAGCAGCAGCATATAAACATGTATTTTAAGCTACAAAAGAAGGCCAGTGAAGACCCAACTGTTATCTCTAGGATTATAAAGGATGACGAAAGTTGGATTTATGGTTATGATCCAGTAACAAAGCAACAATCATCACAGTAGAAGAGCCCACAATCACCAAGAGCAAAAAAGGCAGAAGCCTGGAGTTCAACAAAGAGCAAGCTCACTGTTTTTTATGACCTGAAGGGGACTGTTCACCGTGTATTGGTTCCTTGTAACACTAGGGTCAACTCGGACTTTAACTGTGAAGTTTTGAGACCCCTGAGAGAAGATGTGTAACGAAAACCACAGAACTCTGGCACAACCACAGCTGGCTCCTCAATCATGACAACACGCAAACCCACACATCACTGAAAACCACAGTGTTTATGACTAACAACAACATGGTTATCATTCTCCATCCTCCCTACTATCCGTATTTAGCCCCCTGTGATTTCACTTTGTTTCCCAAATTGAAAATGAAACTGAAGGGATATACTGAAACACTGTGTGACATCCGAAAGGAGTCGCAAGTGGTATTCGACGGAATTAAAGAATATGACATCCACGGTGCTTTTGAAGCATGGAAAAAAAGATTGGATAGCTGAATACATTCCCAAGGAGGCTATTTTGAAGGAGACGGCAGCCAAAACTGAGTAAGTACAGCCAGCGTTTCTTTTCTGACCTACTCTGGGAACTTTCCGATAACACCTCTCTACTGGAAATTAGCATAATGACTGACAAAATTAAATGCCTTTATTGATAAAACCTTAATAAATAAAACAAATTAAATGACAACAGAAATTTTGAACATTCTGTTAAAAAATCTAATATAAAATTATATTTAAGAAGTACTACTATACAGGTATGAAAAGATATGTTAATAAATATAAAATTTTGGTTATGGTGTTCATTTTGTTAAGAGAGACCACATCCCTGCAGTAAACACCCAGCCACGAAGGCCAGTCTCAACTACATTGTGTTCTAATCCCTTGAATGTGAAACAGAACAGCTGATAGCAGTTGTAGAATTTAGGATATTACGTTACACCACAACCCATGAGTTTAAAATATGGGTGCGAGACACACAGAAGTAAAAGATTTAAAATCTCCCTTTCCATAAGGAAATGTTATACACAAATTAAATAAACTATAATATTGTATTTAAGCATCCTGTTGCATTATTATATTTACTTGTATACATATATTTCCACCTCAAATGCAGCCTATTATCTTTTACTACTTCTCTATCACTGCACGTCTTGGCCATATACAGCCATCAACAGGTGCATGTCTATCTTGAAAACACTGTTCCACTGTATGTTAGAATTACATATTGTGTGAATGTGATGCTGATTATTAACTAAAATTAGAATTAAAACTTGCAATCAATACTTATTCTTCACTGCAGTCACCAGCTGTTCACTGAAATATATTTGTCTGAAAGTATATTTGCTGATGTTAGAATTTGCAGAACTTGTCACAGTGTATGTATTTTGTGTTTTATTTATACAGCTCATATAGATTTTGATGTGGTGTTGTTACATGCATGTCATAAATGTTAAAGTGACTTATAGATTCTGCCATGCTGTCAGCTGGTTATGTTATTGCTTTCTTTGTGTAGAGATTATGAATATTCTGTGTGATTCAAGTAACTACGTTGTGCTTATTTCATATTAGTCTGTTCATTATTTTGTTTGTTGAAAGGGTGCTTTTGAGATATTAGCAATTTTCAATAACTAAAAGCATACTAGAAGGAGGTGTGGGAATTGGTTGGGCTAATTATTCACCGTCCATAAGTGGAATCTCCCACCCTTGAGATATGAAGAGCTTTACAACAGTGAATGTTAATAGTGAACCCAAGAATTTGCCACTGAAACTAACAAAGGTTCACCTCCTAGACTATTCTTTTATCTGCATCATCAGAGCAACATATTATATTTTCATATTACTGTGCCGTAAAGCATTGTATAAGGTACTACAGCTCCATTACCAACTCAAAAACTTGTAATATAGTACATCTTTACGAGAAAGTAATAATGTTAATTTCTGCAATGTTGTGAAAATAAATACATTCTCAATGTGCTTTGAGAAGTTCTGATTCAATACCTTCCTGTAAGCTTCATCACTGGTGTATTTGAATTACAATTTTTACATTGACAGGTTCAACTATAATGCAGATAAATTCCAAACACAAAAATTACACATCAGACACAAGCCTCAAAAACCTACGGACAAAAGCACTGCAAAGCTGGTTCCAGCAGACATGCATTTACATTTTTTTTTAATCATAAAAAGTAAACGAAGTACTATTCCTTATACCTCACCCTGGATTTTGTTGTGACTTAGAGTCAATCTTGTTATGTTCAGCATATTGACTGAAACAAGAAACACAATTCATTATAAAATTAGTGTGAAAAATGGACCTGTAAAACACTTCAAGTTTCAGAATAATAAAGTCACAAGTTATGGAGTTTTCAAAATAGACTGAGCACATGCCTGAACATTTTCATAGTACGCCCATTATATTATAATTGTTAATAACCTTAAACATTGAGAGCTCAACATGGGGTACATATAATGGCTGTTATGAATTAAGGGGGAATACCTGTAGCACAGAAATTAAAAAAAAAACTAAAGTTGTCGGTGCTAGAATAATTTGGCACCACGCCATAAAGATGCATGGGGTATCGCTTCAACAGTCTTGACCTAAGCAGTGGGGGGGGGAGTGTTCAGTTTCACGCCCCAGCCAATTTACCCGCAGGGAAAAGGAGTGCCGTATCCATTGTCTAGGAGGTTTGGTGGGCCTCAGAACCGATCTGGACGCTTTAGAGTAGGAAAAATTCTCTAACCCCTGACGGCAATCGAACCCTGTCCGTCCAGCCCGCATCCCGTCGCTACACCGACTGAACAAAATTTTTGGGCTCGCTTGTTTAACAAAAACGTATATTTTTCGTTTTAGTGTTCTTATTTAATGTCAGTATCAAGATGATACTGGCGTCGACAACAGGGCGATTAATTAATGCGGAGCAATTGGAGGCATAAGAAATGAACATCCACTCTTGAAAAGCAGTGTAAATTCCTTCTATACCTGACATTATTGACATGTTTTAATTCGTTGTTACGTCACAGTTCTGAGTAATGAATGTCTAAATCTGGCTTGACTCGAGAGAGCGTTACCACATTAGTGTGTCACGCCCCCTTTCATGCTGACATACAATGGACTGAGAAGCAGTCAAACAAGTTGCCAAATTTGGTCACATATCACGATCACCTCACATCACAAGCACACTCACACAGTCCTGGCATTTCTTCGAACGATGCTATCCCTTTATCTGCCAAATCCAACTCTGGATTCTGGATTTCTTTTGCTTCATCAATAACTTTCTTCGGTCTTGACATCTTGCTGTTAGGAATACACGAAACAGGAGCTTGATTCATGATTGCGCGCGCAACTGTAAAATAGCGGAAGATTCAATACGGATGATCTTTGAATGACGTCCGTTCACAAAATGTGCAATATCAAGATCATTCGCTAGATGGCAGCATAACTGAACAGTCGACTCTCAAGCGTGGTAAGTACGCCAAGTTCCTCGAAGACGTATGTACTCCACTATTGAGAATGAGAGTAACATCTGCTCCGTAGTATCACGTAAAGATGTCACTAATTCTCTATTATTTCAGGATTTGAAGTTCTCACAGCAATGAGCACGATGATAACTACATCGTTCAGTATTTCGTCAGATGATCTAGATTGGAAATTTACGGTCACAAATCCGATTTTACTGCGATCTATGAACGGACATACTAAAACCCCTTGTCGCAACAGTCGGTAAGATACTTACCTACAATTCCGCACAACTCCTCGATAACATCTAGTGTTATCAATCACGAAGAATTCATATTGTTGTCTTCTGAGTTATGACGCTCCGCAGTCTTGTATGTGTGTTACTAAGTTCACAGGTGTAAAGCGTATCAAGAATTGTGCCCATATACAATAACCATCTTGCATCCTTAGATGTTTGAACCAATGATGTGGATTCATTTCTTGCCGCACCCATTCCAACTTTTTTTTTGTTACGTAAGAACGAAGGCAAAATTGAATGTTATTGAAACTTCTTTCTTGCTCCAACCCAGACAATCCTTTTTGCAGTCATTTCATACTCCTATGCCACTCACTGCAATACAATGTACCGAACTTCAAGATGGTAAAATAGTTTCCTGCCATACTTAATGTACTGAACTGTAAAGTAGACATATTTTAAGTTTCAACACCACAAATTACTTTTCCTCCACAATTCAGACAAGTATCTATCTCAACACTGCATTGTCAAATGATTTGTCTGGTGGTTATACTTAAGGAGTGAGAAACCACTTATTGAGACATAAAAGTGTTCATGTTATGTTCAACAACTTTCATTATATGTATTTAAGATGTTTTTATGCTTTCTTTAAAAAAAAAATAAGTTGAGCATAATACAATTAATAACAGTTAGATTACTGGAGGGATAATGATTTCATGTAAAAGAAATAGAATTATTTTTGCAAAGCAAGTACTGTGATGATTTAGAACTTAAAATAATCAATATTGCGAAGTATTATCAAGAATGATCATAGCGGCAAATAAATCATATTATATTAAAATTATTTTCAATTCCAATAATAAAATGAAAAGTATTTGGGAAATAAGCGGCCTCCATAGTCTAGAGGTAACGTTCCCACCTCATGACGCAGGTTCAAATACCCGGTGGAGGTCGTCGAATTTTTAAGGGCGGAAAAATTCAGGGAACAAGTCCTCTGGGAGGGACTTTAAGCCGTGGGTCCGGTGTCGTAGCTTTACGGCACGTAAAAGAACCTCATACCTCCAAAGGAGGTCACTGAGCCAAATTACGGACGTTTTCCGCGCAACAGCAGTCTCTAATACCTCTGATAGATGGAGGAAGCATTATAGATACCTCTCAGCTAGTAGAGCCGGTCTCGCTGGCTGGGCGGGACTGATGGTAAGCACCAGTACCGGTAGGATATAGAGACTGGTAGAAATCATAGAGCGAAGCACAATGGACCAATACAGGTCTAAGTGCATGGGGAAACCCACTCTCTCCAATAACTAACTAACTAACTAACTAACTAATTTGGGATATAATAAATGAGGACAAAAGTATATCAAAAAATGATAACGGTATTCACTCCATATTTGTAGATAAGAAATTAATAAGGAATCAGAATAAAATTGCAAATGTTTTCAACAAGTACTTTTTATCTATAGCTGATTCTATTATTCCAAATAATAATATATATCCAAATCTGAAACTGTCTACTTGAACCGATCACTTAGATTTATTTAACAGACCTTTTACCAAGATGAAATGGCAGTATGACTCCACTCAGGAAATCAAAATAAATTATTAAGACACTAAAGAGTAAAATTCGAGTGGATACGATGAAATCTCCAATAAAATATTATAACTAAGCCTCCCATTTATAATTTCCCCATTTACTCATATTTGTAATGCAATACTTAACACTGGTGTCTTCCATGATAGATTGAAATTTGCCGTAGTCAGATCACTATTTAAAAAAGGGAAAACTCTTGATGTATCTAACTATAGGCCTATATCCCTGCTAACGTCTTTTTCTAAGATAATTGAAAAACTTATGTATGCTAGACTTATTACACATATCAAAACAAATTAATTTATTGGTTCAAGAACAGCATGGTTTTAGATCACATTTTTCGACTGAGAAAGCGGCTTTTTCATTGATTGATAGCATTTTATCTGTGATGAATAACAAACTACTTGTGGGAGGCATTTTCTGTGATTTACAGAAAGCATTTGATTGTGTAAATCACAAAACATTATTGGAAAAATTAATATTCTATGAAATAGATGGTAAATTTAAATCACTCATTGAATCTTAATTCTCAGGTAGATATCAAAGAGGTGTAATAGGGAACACAATTGATTGTAGCAACTCTTCTGATTGGGAATTAATCAGATGCAGTGTTCCTCAAGGCTCGATCACTTGGCCCACTGTTTTTTCTGTTTTATATAAATGACTTACCAAAAATAATTAATAAAAATAATAAAATGGTATTATTTGTAGATGACACTAGTATTATAGTAACTGGCACGAACGAATTAGACTTTGATATGAACCTTAATCAAAATTTTAAAGATATTAATTCATGGTTTAATGCTAATTTGCTCACTTTGAATATTAATAAATCTCAATATGTTGAATTTCGTTCCATGAATCATTATAATATTACCACACAAATTACTTATGATCAGACTAATTTAACCAATGTAATGGATACAAAATTTTTAGGCTTAATCACATCATATGGAAACAGCATATTGATTATGTTATCAATAAAATTTCCAGTGCATGTTATGCATTGAGAAATATAAAATACATTATCCCTCCAGATACATTAAAGTTAATTTATTGCCCACATTCATTCTACCTTGAGCTATGGTATAATTTTGGGGGGAAGCTCTTCCTGCACTTTTATAACCTAGAATGAAAGTTATGAATTATTACTTTACAGCCTCCCTATATGGATGGAAGCATTTAGAGCACCAAAGGTATCAGAGTTCATTTTAGAACTTCTTGTTTTANGACGGACCAGAATGAAAGACCTTAAACATATTTATATATATACAAAGAACAGATACATGTGGGAGAAAAGTCTTCGACTCTGCTTGCGTTACTTCTTTTGGCTTATTTTGGACTTCACCCATCGTCTGGTATATAAAGACAAAAAAAAACGACGCCGTTTCGGAGACTGGATCTGTCTCCATCTTCAGGTGGATAGGGAAGGATAAACCTACTCAGTTGGGCCCCTTAGAAAGAGCTAGTCTCGATGGGTGAAGTCCAAAATAAGAAAAAAGAAGTACAGTATACACCATCATCAGAATCCTTCCAAGTCTCTCTGCTTACGTTGTTTGCATGCGCATCATTTGTACGGACCAGTATAAACATTCCGATAAAAAAAAAAAGTAAAGGTATTCCTGTAACAGGCCATGGAGGCCCATATGGTTGTGAGATGTTGAGGTTCCCATATTTTCTAGACCATCAGCTCATAGATGGCTGCAAAGTTGTCAGCCCTACGCGGCGGCCGCCCTTTACCCCCAAGAATATTCCAAGAATATTCCTGGTACTCATTTCTGTTAGAGGCTGAGCCGACCCCAGGGCCATAGTGCGGGTGGAAGGATTAGGTCAATTGAAAAAATCCAATGACCTTATCAGGACTTGAACCCGTGACCTTCCAGCTTGTAGCATAGTGCCTCAACCAACTACGGTACCACATGCCCCACATTTCGATAATAAGAGAGTAAAAATTAACTATCACAAAACATAAATAATTTAGAATATGAAGAATTGTTGCTATGAATAGTAGAGATGAGACAGGAATTAAGATGTGTATATACAGTCTGACAATTTAATTCCCGGAATGGCCGCAGCATGTCGCTGGTGTGTTGAGTCAGGCAAACTCATGTACCCAAGCACGTTTGGACACATTTCAACTCGCGTTCGGAGGAAAAGATCCGAACTCTGGCCTGACAAATGGATTCTCCACCATGATAATGCCCCTGCGCATGATGCGTTAAGAATTTGTGAATTCCTGGCTAAGAAATCTATTACAGAAATGGACCATCCACCGTATTCACCTGACTTAGCCCCCCCCCCACCCCCGAACATTTTTGGCTCTTTCCAAAATTAAAAAAATGCCCTGAAGGGACAAAGATTTTCTGACATTCCTGTCACACAATGCAATGTGATGTTACTGCGAGGTTTTCCAGAAAACCATTTTCAAGACTGTTCCTGGCAGTGGCACCATCATCTCACAAAGTGCATAGCTTCACAAGGAGGGTATTTTGAAGGCAACAGCAGCCGCTAGTGCACAGGTAAGCAAATTTTGCTTTCACAAGGACATTCCAGGAATTAAATTGTGACATCTTGTAATATGAAAGAAAACTCCAGTTAGTATTTCAATATAATACAGCAATACGAAACAATGTAGATTCAAACTTACAAAATATTTTTAAAGAATTTCTATTACAGAAGACAATGAGAAAAAATAGGTTTAACAAAACAAAACCACACACTCACTCATTATGTTAAACACAAGCTACAAGTTTTAAAAACAACTGCAGGAAGTCCATAAAATTGTAAATATAATTCTGATTTGTACACTAAGATAAGATGAGACCCCAGTGTGGCCAGTTTCACATATCACATACAGCGCAAGATAAAGTAATGCAAGTGCCATGGAACATGAACAGCAAATTTTTAATGGAAACTGTAATATACATGCCTTCTTTATGGAAGTAAAACATAACAATTTATTATCTAATAAAGAATTTTCTACAAATTTACTTCTCATATGGTTCTAAGAACACTGGTAATTAAAGTGCATAGGCAGAGCAGACAGTGTGAAAAAGTAATGGTTGAAATAGCATAGCAAGGGCCTATCCTCATGCAGAGCTGTCTTAAATTAACCATAGAACAGTTTTTCAGCTAAACAACAACCAAACACAAAGTTCAACATTATTTATTGAAAGGGGGGGGGTGATGACTTCTCCTGTGTCATAACCAAATTCATGGTATAACTGCATTATCATGGATTTGCATATTTGTTGAAACTGTTAATTGATATTGTGATGTATTTGCGGTATGCAGGACACCCCCTCCCCCGCCAGCGGTGACATAACACCTTTGGAGCGTTGTCATTGCTATGGTAATAGGCCAGTAAACACCCTGGCCCCTCCCATGGTGACGTGACCAAGGGATGCCACGGTTGCTATGCAGCAGTAATCACACCCGACAGCGTTGCTAGGCTATTGGCAAACACGACGTTACGCAATAGTGGTGCCTATTACGTAACTGTTTTCTGTGTTGTCCGTAACAAGGCTAAATAAGGAGCAGCGAACAATATTCAACAGTCAGTTACGAGTTAGCCAGGGAGTAGTAGTCAGTTAGTTATTGTGTGATCAGGAGTGACACAGTATGGATGGAACAGTCACCGAATTCAGTTGTAGCGGAAAGAAGAATACTGGAACATGTGATTAGAAGTGACAGCGTGAGAAGAAGATGCTTGGCTCACAAGAGAAGTAATTGGGAGTGTGTAATACAGTGACCCTGGTATAGCTCCCGTATCGTACTCTGAAGACGGGTAGACTACTGAAAATAGAGTGAATAAAATATTGTGTAGGGTTCGTAAACTGTGGAAACCCGTAACAGTGTTATAATTAATTGTAGCCAAGACTTGTAGGTGGTTAAATAAACCAATTAACAATCCGAATGGCGTCTTCAGTAGCAAAACACGCTACAATATATGTATTGATCATGTTTAAAACACAGAGATACTCACTACTCTATGATAACCTATACATAATAAACACACAAACAATAAAACTTGTTAATATAAAATTCTAATGCAATGACAGTAAATTAAAAGAAATGGTTAGTAATATGATATTCTCCAGTTAAAATAATATAACACTTTCAGCTGAATGAGCTTAAAATATGAAATTGGAAGGAAAGGTAAACGTGAATTGAGAGATAACGTGAAATAAAGGCTCAAACATGAGTTTCAAATATTACAGCTATGAGTGCATGACTAATGCAGTAAAATGCTTAATGCTCCTGTTTCAGGCACAGTGACCAACTATCGTGAGATTATTTATAATATTCTTCAATCCTCCTGATTAATGTCTTGATAGTACCCCACAGTAGGACACAGATGCTTCACATCACAACCTTTCCAATCATCCTGTCATTTTATATTACATAACCTAAAAAAATTATCGTAATATTAAATATTATCCTAGAGCTATGGTAAAACCCTAATCATGTAATTTATGTATTAAAAGAAACTGTTGAGAAATGAATAATTATAATTCACATCAGACAGTTTTCATCTGGTACTTGAAATAAGACTGAAATATCAAGACCTTACAGTACACATAAAGAAAATGCAGTAACAATTAAGTGCCTCTGTTGTCATACATGCAACCAGTACAGTTTTTAAAATGTTAGAAAAATATACCAAAATGAATCTATTCTCAATTAGAAAATGGAAAGCATCACCTAAAGAATGGCTAGTACTCTAAGTGTTTTAATGTACTTGCACTATCAGCATATTATATCAATGACCTTAGCAAAGCTTCATGTCTTTAGTGTTAGAGAAAGTTTTACTAGCTATCTGTAGGATGTGAGGATGACAACAGTATATAAATAATACACTGTAGCCAGGGAGACACTGTTTTCTGTGGGATCCACGCAAAGGAGTTTTTTAAAGACGAACAGTGCTACAAGTTAGTTTTGAGTTCTCAGTAGAATATAGCCACAGAAGGTTCATCATAAAACAAGAATAAGAAGTAGGCATGTGAAGACTTGGTGTGTGACTAGAAGATTTAGTCACAGTGAGACTGTTTTAACTTCTTAATTGATTGCATCCTCTTGTGTGTCACAGATATATATATAGGAATTAGGTTAACTGTCACACACAAAAGATACTCACTTTTTAATGTTTTACAATTCGACTTTTATTCCTGCTACATGTTTCAGTCATATAAGACCATCATCAGGCATAGGAATACGTACAGTTACTGAACTACTAATACGGATCCATATCAGTGCAACATGTCATATTATATAATAACATGAATTTTTTTGCCTCAAGTTTGCATTACAATTAAAGTAGAAGATTAAATATAAAAGATATACTATATATCAAGATTTATAAAGTGCTGAATATATTATGGAATATTTTTAACAATATAGTATTAAATATTTTTAACATTCCATAATATATTCAACACTTTATAAATCTTGATATATAGTATATTTTTTATTTTATCTTTTAACTTATTTTGTATTTTGTACTTTAATTGTACCACCAACCTGAGTAAAAAAAAAAATATGTTAGTATATAATACATGTTGCACTGATATGGATCCATATCGGTAGGTCAATAACTATACGTATCACTATATATAACTGCCTGATGATGGTCTTATATGACCGAAACACGTAGCAGGAATAAAAGTCAAATTGTAAAACATTAAAAAGTGAGTATATTTGTTGTGTTGATGGTTAAACTAATTCCTATATATATGTTTTAACTTCGTTACCAGGTGACGACTAGTAAAGACTGAGGATCCTAGTGCATGTGTAAAGGTGAACTGTAAAGTGCAGAAAGAGCGATAGTTCTGTATTAAATGTGATTAAGAGAGACTGTAACCAATGTGCAAATAAATCCAATCATCCATCATTTTCATCGTGTGTACCACCCTACACATGACAATATTCTTTATTTCGCGCACTTCAAATTTGTATAAAATGTGGCCGCACTATATTTAAAACATTCATACTTCGAAGACAACTATTCAGTGGTAAATATTATCACCCCCCATTTTACTGTATGAAATAGCTATTATCCTGCTACCAATGATTTTAGCAAGACTGAAAAATTGCAGTTTTGCATTTTTGAAATTGCTCACTCTTAATTTTCTTATTATATCATGTTGATGAACAGAACAGTTTCCTATTTATATAAGTTTCCTTCAACACATTATTCTTATATTACAGTCATAATTATTTAATTACATAGGCAGATCTAAACAATGAGGTAACATGCATGACTGTAGTGACTACATCTTATGGGCTTCCTGAACCTTTGGCATTGTAATCCAGAATATGAAACACTACACAGAAATTCTTTCAAGCATAAATTTCCTTACAATTAAACTAAACAGCAACACAAACATAATTAGTAGTGCATCAATATTAATAATCATAAACATATGCTAACATCAAGAAAAACACATAATAGCATATTTTTTAATTAAAATTTTGCAAGATTTGATGTCACCTGACACAAATGCTTTCAACAAAACATTGTACTTTCTTTTACATGGCTCATTTCTATAGCATGCTATGAAAACGATTCCTTGTTAACTGTGTATCACAAGGTCATCACAGTATCATCTGCTGATTAATGGTAGATGAATACTTTTGCAAAGGTCATATTTTCTTGTAATACATAACAGCAGATAAAATCCTTTATAAAATGTGTCAGATGAACAACACTCAATTGTAACTTTACATCAAAATGTGTGTCCCTTTTAGACAGCCACAATTAGACAATCATTTACTTGTAACTATAAGTCAACAGGAGATCAGTTTCCGGTGAAGAACTGATTGCAATAACCGAAGACCAGCAAATGAATACTTCCCACATGGCCTTAGCCAAGTGTTCATGTGTGTAATTGTACATCAGCAGGGGAAAGCTTCCCACACGGTAACAGATGGGTGATGGCCAAGATTTTGTAGCTCCTTCAATAAAAGATGCACAGCTGGAACACGCACCATAACACGAACATATGAGAAGCAAATTGTTTAGACAACATCAGTGTAAATAACAAGGCTTACTCTTACTGTACTTCTGAGGGGATAAAAACAGGATCCAACATTTTACATATTTTTATTTTCTTATGACATTGTCAGTATCTAGATTACATAGCATCGAATGGTAGGATAACTGATGAGCAATGAATTGGAAAGAATTTGGAAGGATTCAGCCATGATCTGATCAAGGTACTATTCCATATTTGCCTAGACAGACTAAGGAAAGCCATAAAAAAACTTCAGTCTGAATAGCCAGTGTTGTGGTTGTGATTTGAACAAAGGACCTCCTGCAAAATGATGTGGACATACATAAGAAGTTACATACAATTTTTATCCTCAAAGAAAACTTCAATATGCATTTTTTGGGACTCAGTAATGGACGTTTTTGAGATAAACGTACCTATCAGTGATTGGAGAGGTTGCCTCCCTCCTTCATAACCTTGACAGTGAAGAACTTTGTTGCCTTAACAGTTGCATGAAGGTCTTGTGCATGTCAGAATGCCGGTTTTCAATTTCTTAGAGACTGTCACCATATTTTGGCATTTACTGAGACTTATTTTACGAGAAAACATTTTTCTATCATAATATTTTTCACTAACTACTCTGTAAAATGCCAATACAAAAGTGTAAATTTAGTGCTGAATTGAAAAAAAGACTGCCATTTAAAAAAAAAGTGAGTAATGAACATGTTGAATGTCCACAACATAGAATTTACAGTATGCTACGGCAGACATTCTGACATCAAACACCATCTACAAACTACAGACCATAAATCATCACTAGAAGTAGCAGCCAGATCTTCCCCAGTTATACAATTTTCTTTTTAAAGGGATGTGAATGATAAGGACAGGCAACTTTTGCTTACCATAAAGCCATTCACAGTTTAAGTTTTATAGCGTCTGATTACACATCCAAACTGATATAGTAATTCCACAAAAAGGATAGTATATAAGATTTGAGGCTTTCACAGTGGTGACTATGAAGAAAGCGGTCTTCTAGGATTTGGCACCGTGTATATGTGGTGTTAACCGACGTTTCGGAGGAACGTATCGCCTCCATCTTCAGGGTAGAAGAAAAAATATAAGAAAACTGCAAGCGAAGAGACCGCGAGAACCAGTAAAAGCAGACTGCTTTCTTCAAGGATAGTATAAATTAAAAAAGTGTTAATATGACAACTGCATAATTAAAAAAATAAAACCCAAGTAAACTGAAAAGTACCTGCGCAGCATGTATTCAGAATGTGCGGATCAGCATTACCTTGTTTTTCTGAGGATTCAAGAAAAGACCCTGCTATGTTGAACCTGGGAAGCAAGACAAGTTTTTCCAGGTACTCCAGGGCCAACTCAGGTGCAAAATGTTTCTCTAGGCAATGAAGAATGGTACTCAGCATAGGACCATCCAGCTTATTTCCAACAACTATAAGAGATATAGTGTGTAAATACAGAAATGAAAGAGCCACTTTCAAGATACATGTGATTAAGAAATGAGTATTACTGCAGCACGAAAAATTAAAAAGTAAAGTAAAAGTATCCTTGTAAGAGGCCGTGGAGGCCCATAAGGTTGTGACATGTTGAGGTTCCCACATTTTCTAGACAATCGGTTCATAGATGGCAGCAAAGTGGTCAGCCCTACACGCCGGCCGCCCTTTACCCCCAAGAATATTCCTGGTACTCATTTCTGTTAGAGGTTGAGTCGACCTCAGGGGGCATAGTGCGGCTGGAAGAATTAGGTAAATTGAAAAAAAATCCAATGACCTAATCGGGACTTGAACTCATGACCTTCTTGCTTGTAGTGTAGTGCCTCAACCAACTATGCTACCTCGTGCCCCTATGAAAAATTAAAGGGATAGTAATTAAGTCTGAAATTATGCTAGTTTAGTACATATGAATACTCCTTCCACTCCACGAACAGGCAAAAAATGTATCACAGTTACAGATTATTGTTACATTAAAAACCATAATGTGCTCACATTGCATTTATGTGGCATGAAAAGAACAAGAAGTTACAATGTGTTTGTATCAAAAGGAATTTAGAATGGAAATAATTAATTTTAAAATATTTTCTAAATATGAACTTCTAAGTCCATGAGCTTCTAAACTTCGGAAAGTCTGAAGGTATCTAACATTTTTTGTTTTCTTAGATGAAGCTGTTAGCCTCATGCCCAACCCCCAACTTGGAGGACAAGGCCCACTGTCTGTCTGGCTTACATCCTTCATCCTGTGCAACAAGGGTGACACCAGCAGCTCAAGCCCCCAGGAATAAAGACCCCCAGGCAACCAGGGCACTCAAATCTTCCCATCATTTTGAGGTATAAGCCAAGGAAAGACCTTGAACTAACAATTATTTGCAATACTACAGCCAGGTTATCAAAAAGTATGCAGTGAAATCCCTATGTAACAAATCTCTAGGAGAATGGTTTTTCTTACTTTAAATTGGGGATTTCACTAAATAGGGGATATGCAAAAATTACATCTAATTACCAATTGTAATTCAAAATTTTTGGTAACCATTAGATTCTTCCTTTTCATAAACGTCATAACTAACAATAAATAAAAGAAACACTACTGATGACATTCAAAACTCATGCACGCTTGTTAAAGATTATAGCTGATAGCAACAATTGGCAGCATTAAATCAATATACAAAGACTGAATACTGCTTACTTTAAATGCAGTTTATTCACTATACTGAAATTCACTAAATACAGGTAAAAAATACATTGCTTATATGGGACTTTGGCTGGGACCACAAGAAATATTCACCAGATAAAGGAGTTCACTAAATGCATGAACACTAAATGGAATTTCGCTCAAGTGGTTAGTCACTGACTTTCCACCGTGGTGGCCTGGGTTCAAGCCAGGGTCTGGTCAAGTGGGATTTGTGGTGGACAAAGTGGCACTGGAGCAGGTTTTCTCTGAGTACTTCAGTTTCCCCTGCCAATCTTCATTCCACCAACTGCTCCACAATCACCCTCACCTATCATCTGGGGCTGGAACAATAGGCCAGAAGTGACCGCAGTACAAGGTACTTAGCCCCACCCCACTACCAATAAAAAAAAAATGGAATTTCACTGTACCAAGTTTAATGTAATTGGTCCAGAAGTGAAGGGCCGCTACATACACAGTTCATTAACATGGTTCAGAAAGAACAAAGCACCAAATATGAACACTTCGTATTTTGGGCAAAATGGACTGCAAATTCAGGTTCAACAGAAACAAATACTCACCAGTTTGGAGGTCTACAGGCTGGACAGCTCGCATCACCTGTGCATGTCCAGAGACATCTGTGCTCCCCTTGAGAGCCTGCCACACCTTCATAAACTCATACGGAGAAGTAATTATGTTCACACTTTGGCCTTCCTCATGCGCTGACTGTTTTGTACTACACTGCAAAACAAAAAGCAGGATGAAAAAATTACACTACATAATCATGTGCTTGACAGAAAATTCTGAATTTATCTAAAACACAGAGGAAGTAATTCAGTGGGACAAAAATAACTGTATCAGACACTGCATATAATGTACATTTCCTCTAGAGCTGACTTTACAGCTGCCTTTATGTGTCTGGTCATCATAATATTCACACACATTGTGACATGACAGCTGAAAGCCAGAGTAGTTTAAGAAAAATGTCGTCCATTATTAGGCAACGTCCTGTAAACACTTTTCCACGGCAACCAAAACACGTTTCCACATCAACAATACCCAGACCATCGCTAGGCAACAGCTCAATTAACATAATCATGTGCCTGACAGAAAATTCTGGATTTATCTAAAACACAGAGGAAATAATTCATTGAGACAAAAATAACTGTATCAGACACTGCACATAATGTACATATTTGCTCTAGAGCTGATTTTACAGCTGCCTTTATGTGTCCGGCCATCATAATATTCACACATATTGCGACATGACAGTTGAAAGCCAGAGTAGTTTAAGAAGAATGTCGTCCATTATTAGGCAATAGCTGGTAAACACTTTTCCACGGCAACCAAAACACACTTCCACATCAATAACACCCACGTCATCGCTAGGCAACAGCTCAATTAACATGTCACACAACAATGGAGGAATTCTTGAAGCACTGTTTTCTATGCACTCTGTGCTGAGACTATATAACAAGGACACCAGCTGAGTCATGAGTCAACAGTCAGTCAGAGGCTGGAGTCAGTGGTTAGCAGTCTTGAATCGCACTGTTAGTAAACGACTAGTAAACAAACAGAAGGCTTCATGTGTGCTGTAGTTGTGATTTAGTGTGTGTAAATCAGTGACACTGTTATGGTTATTTGAGCGGCCTCCGTAGTCTAGAGGTAACATTCCCACCTCATGACTCGTAGAACGCGGGTTCAAATACCCGGTGGAGGTCGTCGAATTTTTAAGGGCGGAATAATTCAGGGGAACAAGTCCTCCGGGAGGGACTTTAAGCCGTGGGTCCCGTGTCATAGCTTTACAGCACGTAAAAGCACCTCATATCTCTATAAAGGAGGTCACTGAGCCAAATTCAAGGACATTTCCCGTCCAACAGTAGTCTCTAACACCTCTGATAGATGGGGGAAGCATCATAGATACCGCTAAGCCAGTAGAGGCTGAACTCGCTGGCTTGGTCAGGACTGATGGTACGCACCAATATCAGTAGGGTATAGAGACTGGTAGAATATCATAGAGGGAAGCACAATGGACCAATACTGGTCTAAGTGCATGGGGAAACCCACCCTCTCCAATAACTAACTAACTAACTAACTAACTATGGTTATTTGCAATAATGAGTTACAAGCATTCAAAAATTCAATTATCGATTCAAAACCCAGTGTCTAGTCACTAACACATGACACAGTGTGTTCTGTGAATACATTTAACATTTCCTTTCAGAATAACAAACTATTTTTATATTCATCTTGAAAATCTTGAACTGCGTTAGCTGAAAGAGAGTAGAAATCTGTCATGTGAGATCTGGGTTCTAGCAATGGTGAATATGAATGTTAAGTGTCTTTCGGGAAGTGAAGCCGTGTATCTGGGAGAAGATTACTGATGTTTTGAATGGACATCAGTAATTTAAAGGATGGTTCTTCAAGTATGAATACTATTTGAAACAACCAAAAATGTTCAAGGTCAAAGTTCGAGATAGGTTGTTTTGAGATACATTCACAGAAAACACGAATAAATGTTAAAATTAAAAGGGGATTTATATTAAAATGAATTCTAATTAAGGTTATTTATTATTTTCTAATAACAAATTTCCATTTGTTTCATTCTGGTCTGTCACACTAACAATATTATTAAAGATAAAACAATTCCGTCCAGTAAAAACAAGACAGCATGTCACGAACAACCACAGGACGACATCAAAGAACCTTCTTCTCAAGAAAGACAGGCGGCACAAGTTCTGCCCCCGTCAGCAAAGGTGATAAGAGGGAGGAGACGAACCTATTTGGTTTATAAATTCTAACTTAAATAACAACAGTTTTTTTAAAAAAATTAATATATCAAGACAGCCGCTGTAGTTGTGAAAACTTTGGATTTTGTATCTATTTGTGCATTGTAAACATTGTATGAACTCGTATATATATTTTAACATTCAGAACACCCATTGTAATAGTGGTTTCCAAACAGTATCGATGTCCCTCTGATGATGGTCTCTAAGGACCGAAACATGTAAGGGTGTTATGAACTGAAGTAAGACAAACTTCACCAGTCACACTGGATGGAATTATTTTATCTTTTATAACAAATTTTCAGTTTCTCTAATCTGCCTGACAAATTTTGGGTTCATTCTAGGGAAAGAAAATAATTCACAACATTTGAAACCAACTACGTTGTGTTCTGGGGTTTTATTCATGCAAAACAACGCCTTTCCACCTAACCACAACTTTCAAAATAAAAGCATACGAAAGTAAAGGTGATGTCATTCTTAAAGTTTTTTTTGGACTGTGCAAACTGAATGACATATTAAATCACTCATATTTAAACTTTTCTGAAACAGTTCACATATTCTTGATGAAAGAATATCAGATGCACTAAGACTAAAACTGATGAAGCTAGTATTATCAATTAATCTTCAGAGCTAGTCCTCCAGTGCTAATTTGTATATAATACAATGTTCCTGATGTGCTTGAGCCTTCATATGAAAACAAAACAATAGCTAAATAGCTGCTAACATCAATGTCATATGCACAGATCTCCCTAATAGCAATAACAGCAAACACACATGACTGTGATAAACTGTGAAAATACGGCTTTCAGGCTTAGCAGATAAAATTAAGCCAAACTCTGAAATTCCATATAAAATGTACTGAAAAGTTCAATATCATCTGTATCTGGAAATGTGGTAGCACATCTATTTTGAAAAAATGTGATAAAATTATGACACAAGAAGAACCATACAAAATTCCTGGCTTAAAGGAACAATGGAAGAGTGTACTTCATGCTTTCAAAAGTAAATATAAATTAAATTAATACAAACTACCTCCTTCAATGGGACCTATATCTAGTATTTTATCAAGTAACACAAAATCCACTATGAATGAAATATATATGATTAGATATCCTAGTCAATTTAGGCAGCCTAAAACCAGGAACTACGAACTATGGTCTACTTGAAACTTCAGTGATCTTATTCCCATAGAAGTGTCCTTGTATGGCTTTCTACACTATAACCTGCAATATGTAATGAATAACTGAAATGGAACTGAATTACTATAAAATGAAACATAATATTGTATGATAGCACCTTGTCGCATATCACTTATTTATTCCAGTTAGTCATTAGCTGTTTCACATGCAACTTCTTTTTAAAAAGTTATAAAAGTTAAAATCACTTATTTTCAGTAGAAGAAATTTTAACCTTTCAAACTTTTAAACATTTTAGAAAGCAAGTTGCATGTGAGACTAAGGATGGCTGCAGACCAACTGTGTCGAGACAAGCATTAAGACTTGCTTCATTTGTGATTCATCAGCATGAATCTGATGTCAGCATCATGACTCAGACCGGTGTGCGGCGGTTTTCATAATCTCATTCGTTTCAACTGTGCTCCTTTCTTTGCGTCATGTCACAGACATCGTGGCTTGACTGTCAAATCTTGACGCATGCCGGTGTGCAGCTTACCTAACAACTAACAGGTCTATGGAGTGGCCTCCATAGTCTAGAGGTAACGTTCCCACCTCATGACTCGTGGTACGCGGGTTCAAACCCAGTGGAGGTCATGGAATTTTTAAGGGCGGAAAAATTCAGGGAACCAGTCCTCCAGGAGGGACTTTAAGCCGTGGGTCCTGTGTCATAGCTTTACGGCACGTAAAAGAACCTCATATCTCTATAAAGGAGGTCACTGAGCCAAATTCAAGGACATTTCCCGTCCAACAGTAGTCTCTAACGCCTCTGATAGATGGGGGAAGCATTATAGATACCGCTAAGCCAGTAGAGGCTGAACTCGCTGGCTTGGTCAGGACTGATGGTACGCACCAATATCGGTAGGGTATAGAGACTGGTAGAATATCATAGAGGGAAGCACAATGGACCAATACTGGTCTAAGTGCATGGGGAAACCCACCCTCTCCAATAACTAACTAACTAACTAACTAACTAACTAACTAACTAACTAACAGGTCTATTATTATTATTATTATTGTTGTTGTTGTTGTTGTTATTATTATTATTCGGAGGGGGTGGGTTTCCCCATGCACTGCGACCATTTATTGATCTATTGTGCATCCCCCTTTAATTTTCTAACTAATCGCCATGCCCTTCCAGTACTGGTGCTCGCTATCAGCCCCGTTCTACCAGCGAGGTCAGCCCTCTCCGGTAGTGGTCCCTGATACTTCCCCATCTACCGGAGGAATTGGAAACTATATGGGCGGGAAACTTGCCTAATTTTGCTCAGAGGTCTCCTAGAGACATGAGGATCTTTTACGTGCCGTAAATCTACGACACGGGACACACGGCTTAAAGTCCCTCCTGGAGGACTTGTTCCCTGAATTTTTCCGCCCTTAAAAATTCGCAGGGTTTGAACCCACGTACCTTGAGTCACGAGGTGGGAACGTTACCCCTAGACTACAGAGGCCGCACTAACAGGTCTAAGTAACAGTTATATAATATGGTAAGAATTCATACCTCTATGGGTACCTCTCGTGATGTTCTCTCATTCACTTTGTACTTGTTAGCTACCTTCACTTTTGTTTGCTGTGGTTCAGTGTTGCCAATGCCTGGTGAAATTTTCTGCTTCGTATCCTTTAATCCTGATGCTTCTGATGGTGTATTCTTCTCTTCATTTCCTTCTGTCTGCACTGTTTCATTACTGCTGTTACTGTTACCCACTGAAAGTTTTTCATTTTTCAATTTATTTGCTTCTAGTGACGCGTTTCCTATATTTTTTTTGTTTACCCTTGTATCCCCTCTCTTGTCTGTTTCCATGGCTGTACTGATGTCACTGCTTAAAGGAAGTTTCAGTTTTACTTCAGAAGTTGTTTGCTTTACTTCTTTCTTATCCGACTCAAAATTCCCTCCTTCTCTTTTCTCCATCGCTACATTATTATCTCTACTCATAAAAGCTTTCCCTTCTGCATCTTTCAATTTTTTTATTTCTAACATATTTTCAAGTTCTACCCTCTGTTCTCTCAGTTCTCTACTTCCTTTCCTTGAATCAAGTTCAGAACTTATCAAGTCCTTATGAAGTGGCAGTTCTGAATTTTCCTGGACAACATTCTCCATAGATTTCTCTGTTGCCAATATATCCCCACTTCCTTTCTCATCAATTTGCATCTGATCACTGCTTATGTTTTCATTACTTTGTTCATCTCTACCATCATCAGCAGCAGGAGTGACCTTCACAACAATACTGCCTCTTTCCTCACCCATCTCAGATGTATCTTCAGTGGCTTGTTTTATCTTCTGCCTTTCCTCCTCTTTCTCTGTTCTTCGGTCAGCTCGCTTCCTTTTACAGATCCTACATTTAGGAGCAGTCCTGCATGACCAGGCTGGAATGCCATTGCATCTGCACATTGTCTTTGCTAAGCCCCATTCATTTACTGCCACATTGTGTCGTGGTGCAGGAAACACAAAGCCAGTAGGTTCATCCTCAATAGTCATTCTGTAATAGAAATAATAACTTCAGGCATAAAGACTTAAGATTTCTTAAACTGTGACCAATATAACAATTATTCTACTTCAGAATTTTAGGACCCATGGCTGATGGCCACCACATATTTTTTCAGTACAGTTTTCACTATAAGGCACACCTCTGTTCTCAGTCATTCTTTCCTGTGCAATTACGTTAAGCAGATATTTCTGATTGTTTTTCATCAAAAGATACGTTTTGCTCTTGGTTTTCTCTGACATAATATCCAAGGAATGATCAACTTCTGCATGAATTTGGGTCATGAGAAATGGATTTAATACTCAAATATTTGTACATATAAACTTTTACAAGGTTACGAAATTTCATGTTATGGCATTTTACAGCAATAATCTTACACTTGATCCATTTTTAAATATTTAAAATACAGAATAACAGTACTTGCTATGGAACGTAAACTCAGTGAATCAATATGTCTCACCTCACACTCTTCAGATTAGATCCACACTTTTTCTTCATCTGTTCAGAAAGGGATTTTGCCAATTTGTTATCTGGTTCAAGCCCCACAACTTTGCAGAAATCTTCAAAAGCCTAGAATAAGGTCAAAGTGTCAGTAGTTTGCTAGGTCACAGCAGACAACTTCTATTACTCATGTTCAGGACATTATCTGACATCACTGCAGAGATATAATTGATGAAGTTGCCGTACGTCAGCAAGATCTGCCGTCGGCATCTGCATATTTAGGTATCTGCAGAGTGACTGCTCCACCATGACAGTGCACTAATATATTAGTCTCGTACGGCAAAGTAGTCACGTTGCTTTTATACCTTTCCTAGATTCCAGATCCAGCTTCTACTGATTTCTGTGTGTTCACAAGAATGAAAGCCCTCTGGAAGGGATACAGGTTCCAGTCAGCTGAAGAAGTGAAAGAAGCTACAACAGTGGCAAGTAAGGTCACAGATAAATGTCTGCAGGAGTATTTCAAGCAGTGGTATGGCAGAAATTTGTAACAGTGGGAAGGAATTACTCTGAAGGTAGTAGGTAGTAAAATGGACCGTCAACATGAATGCAACATGGAAAAAATTTCATAAATTTTTTTGGGTCTAGCATGTATAAAAGCACTGACTCTAGAGAGACGTTTTCTTAACAGACTCAACTTTTTCAATCATTAAAGTAGTTATAAATTTCACATTACTCCAGCAGTTGGTGACACTGAGCTCCAATGTACCTTCAAGTCACAGGCAGACACTATGAAAAGTTTCTGCAACAGGTTTCATTAACATATAAAACTTATTTCAGTTTTATATTTACATTATCGTAGAACTTATCATTAAAAACTATTATTTCTAGTACATCTTTTTCTAACTTTCAAACTGCCATGACTTCTGGAACTTTCTGAATTGGGTGAATGTTAACACTTTGCGGACCGTGCACCCTCTAAAAGGTTTTTCGCTTTTAAACATGCGGACCGTTCACGTGTTAACATGTTTTTAAAACACGATAAGTTGCAACACACTATACATCTCTCTGGCTCCACCTAGCTAGCACGTAGCTGCTTGCAGCTCAAATCACTCAAAATCACTTAATTAAAGTACCCACTCCTTCTACGAGCTTCTGAACAACCTAATCAACTTATCTGGAAGAGACTTGTTACCTTTCCAGTCTGCCCTTTTATTTCCCTCTGTAACTAATAGATACAGTCACAAAATAATATATACCTGTTCATAATTGTTGCTGTTCTGGTGTGCAGTTCCCCGCCGAAGCAAAGCCTTTACATTCAATGGGTCTGCTTCCAACACCTGGTTGCAATCTGTAAGTGCTGCTCCAAACTTGTGAAGCTTTAGGTCTGAATTCAAACAAAAATTATTTTGGTGAGATATTTAAAGAAACAAATATTAGCTGAAAAGAACATATATTACTATCTCTGTCAAAACTTTCGGTTCCTGTTTCAAAAGTCACTAAATATGGAACAGATCACACTCACCGACATAAATGATTATGCCAACAGGCTGTTATCATGTGAAAACTGTTCATATTCACTATCCCTGGGAGGCTACAGAGATGTTATAAGGCTTTTAGTTTTGAATATACATTAAATGAATGTAGATTAATGAATGGAGAACCTAAGTCCTCAAATTTTCCAATTCATATATTTAACACCGCAATGACCAGTATAATTTCATGCTCATCTATACTACCATAATTCTGAAATGGTGGTAAAAAGATTCTCGCCTGATTAAGAATGCAACATTTATGACTATAACAGAGACTAATGGTTCCGCTCACATGCTATTGCCCTATTATTATAAGCAGCTGGCGTCGGGCAGAGCAAAATGCTGCAAGTGTAGTGCTTCACTGCCAGGTCATAGTCACCAGAACGGTAATATTCATTGCCTCGATCCTTCTCCTGTGCTGCCATGAACTCCTTCTCTGTGGCCGAGAGGTTGTCTGCAACATAACATATCTATATGAATATAAAAAGAACTTATCTCAAAAATACTGCCAACAAAGTAATGGAAATGTTTAAGTGGGCAACTAGGGACTTAATAAAGATCTTCATAATTTATACAACTTATCCAGTAATGTTACCACCATGAAATCAAAAATGTTATGAACTGTACACGTAATTCAAGTGGTAAACAAGAAATATTTACATAATTCTGTTCAAGGAACCTCTTTCAAAATGTCAGTATATTCATCTGAAACTTCTGCAAACATCCATCAGACCAGAAGGCATCTCCTCCCAGATGATAAGAATCTTCATGGACTGAAACAGCACAGAACTGTGTCCAGTTGGTGGTTTTTGGTAATAAAAATACTGAAGCTTCACATCCCATTACCAGAAAGTTACACAGTTATCTAAAAACATCCATGTGAAAGAATTGGCTTAAAAAGGAAGAGAAGAGGAATTAATGACAGAATTACCTTCTTTTAAGAAACAATTACAATGATTTAAATTTTTCTCCTAATATGTAGGTAGGCTGAAAAGCAATGCACACATGCTTGTAGAGCGCGAATGAAATGACCTTCAGAAGAGCGCCAGGTGGCATGTGGAAGTAACATTACCCCTCAATACGCATGCGCAGGTTTGTGGTTGTTGCGTTTATCCAGTGTATTTCGAGAAGTGGAAGTATGGAGACGTGTTCTAGTGCTATGTCAACGCGAGTTAAACAGCGTGCTGTTATCGAATTTTTAACTGCTGAAAAAGTGACTCCTACTGAGATTCATCGTCATTTAAAGGCTGTTTATGGTGACGATGCTGTTGATAGGTCTACTGTAAATCGATGGGTAATAAAATTTCGTGGTTGCGAGCCTGGAAAAGCCATAATTTTTGATGAAACACGGAGCGGACGTCTGATCACTGCCACAGACGATAATCATCACAAACTCATCAACAATTTGATTCAAAATGACCAGCGAATCACTCAAAAGCGTATCGCAGACGATATTGGAATATCCAAGGAACGTGTCGGCTTCATTATTGAACAATTGGGATACCGTAAAATCTGTGTATGATGGGTACCACGCCGTCTCACAGACGATAACAAACAGCGGCGATTATGCTGCGAGCAACTTTTGCAGCGCTACCGTGACGAAGGAGACGAGTCATGGGTACATTGTTACAACCCAGAAGAGAAAAGACAGAGCACTGCATATTGACATCTGTCTTCTCCTCAGGCAAAAAAGTTCAAAACACAACCATCCGCCAAAAAACTTCTTTTGACTGTGTTTTGGGATGCTCACCGAGTTTATGTGAACGATTTTCTGGAATGACGGGCAACGGTAAATTCTTCTCAGTACATACAGACTCTAAAACACCTCCGGTGTAGAGTTTGTCGTGTTAGAGGCAGCCTGGCTCCAATAATCTTGCGACATGACAACGCTCATCCACACACCTCGGGCGCAACTGAAGAGGCTCTGCGAAACCTGAAGTTTGAACCGACTGCACACCCTCCTTTTTCCCCCGATTTTGTGCTTTGTGATTTTTATTTTTTTCCTCTACTCAAGAGAGACCTCAAGGGTAATCATTACGCTTCAGACGATGAGGTGAAGGCAGCTGTCAAGTCCTGGATTCGAGAAAAGCCGGAAGAATTTTTCAGTGACGGAATGAAAAAACTTGTTACACATTGGGAGAAATGTGTTAGCCTTAACGGTGACTATGTTGAAAAATAAATATATGCTTTTGAAACTTAAGAATTGTACTTTAATGTACTTTTTGCCCGATCTTGCTATTTGTTTTTGTTCACGCTCTACAAGCATGTGTGCATTACTTTTCAGCCTATCCATGTAACATACTTTCACACAACTGCAAAATTCTTTAAGTAATCTGCATAACCTGTCACCATGGAATCAGAAACCATTTTCATAGCTTCAGTGACACATTATACTTTGACAAAACATGCAGGCCTACAGGTAACACTTCAGATTTATTTCAGGAGGTGCTTGGTTCCAATCTCGGCTGGGACACTAGCTATCCTGAGTGAGGTTTTATGGTTTTCCTCAGCTGCTCCGGGCAAATGTTAGAATAATCCCTCAATTAGACTATGACTGTTTCCTCCCCAATCGTTTCCAACTCATCATCCTACTATCTGACGCTGTACCCTTTCAATACTGAGAGAATCCTTAAATAACCTATGAATAAAAAGAAGAGCAACTTTTGTACACATGGAACCTCAATAAAATGCCTTTGTGTCTATAGTTACAAGCCACACACACAATTGTCAATGTAACACTTTCCATCATCTGCTTTAGTTCCTTGAAACACAACGCTGATGTAATTAAGATATTTTCACTGCAATGTCATAAAATTTTATAAATCAGATTTTGTCACTGGTATAGGCATTAAATAATTATTTAATGCCTATTTAATGCCTATGAATTAAATTATAATTTAATTCATGAAGAGCTGAAACCTTAATGACACCTAAATTTTATGTTATGAACCAACTTTTCACACTCAGTCAGTTTTCAGAAACTTCATAGTTTTAATCGAGGTTAATGTAAGGCAGAAGTTACAGTGAATCAGTATGGACCAAAAATAAAACTGCCTGCCAACTTCTACTGTTAACCTCCCCACACATAACTGTAACAAAATCCATTTAGTTTCTAGATATGACCTTCCCATGAGATGTTCATTCATAAATTTCATGCAAAGAATGCATAAAAGACTCTGGTAATATGCAGCACTTTGTCTTCCCAGTATGGACTGATTATGTTTTAATAATTACAGCTATAAATCTTAATTAACTGATAATATTTTTTTACATTCATTATGATGTTTACAGCAAAAGACTTGCTCTGATTATAAAACAGATTCTAAATCATATTGCATACGGTGTTACCTCTGAAGAAATGACTTTATTAAAACATACCAGCTATATTTGAAAATGTATCATCCTCATCTCTTTTGTTCTTTTTCTTCTCTTTCTCTTGTTGCCTTTTCTTCTTCATGGCCTGTTCTTTCCTCCGCTCATCCTCCAACTCCATCTTGAGGAGCTCCTTGTCTACATCAAACTTATCCCAATCAGCGTAATTTCGAGGTACTGCACTCTTCATCCGTGATGGCCCAGCCTCCTGCTTGTCATTCTGTCACAGAAAAAATGACAACCACATTAGTATTGCTGAGAGCAGGTCCAACCTTTGTAATACCGTTTGCATGCAGTGATCCTATAACTTCAGCAGCAACATCAGTATCCTGTGTACTCACATGAGAGCCCAGCATCTTGCTCATTTTTACGTTGCGAACAGCTGGAAGATCATCTGAAGACTTATAGATACTGCTGCTTTTCTTCAGTTCCTCCTCACGTGTCCTCATTTCACCAGTCCATTCCTGTCATGTAACACGTTATAAAAACTGACTCAACATATTCACACCCAAAACCAAGGTTTTAAGGCAAGTAATTGAAACAGGAACAGAACTAAAAAAATACACTCACCCCCTTGCCATAAATGTGCTAATGGAAACCAGTGGCAAGTACAGTCTCTCAAAATTGTCATGGCATGCTCAGGGTAACCACCGTATGGCTACAAAAGGCAGCAAGACATAACACAAACTCTCCCCGATTCTCTCAAACATTGCACAATGGCAATATCAATGGGCTATACATAAAGACATTTATATACAGGATGTATCAAAACTTCAGGATCGGACTCCTCATATAGAGAGAAGAAAACAAGCGTATGACAACATGCGTACGGAAATGCATAATTACGGAGTTATCCGACCTTTTAGTAACGTCAGTGAACTGTTGCAATGTTGCACTGAATATGTCTGTAACGCCAACTGGAACACTCTGGTCACATATCAGAGGAAATGTTCAAAGTGACCTCCTCCTGCCTGAATACAGGCCTCCGCTCGTAATCACATGGAGTGCCACACACGATCAGAAATGCCCGGTGTAGTGTGTACTGTCTGACAGGCTGCCACAATAAGCACATGGAGAGTTGGTACATCAGCAACAGCAGTCAAAAACACGACAGACTTTAAGTGTCCCCACAGGTAAAAGTCTAGGGGGTTTAAGTCGGGAGAGCGTGGTGGCCAAGCAGTCAGTCCACCTCTACCTATCCAGTGCCCAGGATAATGTGCATTAAGGTGCCTGCCAGCAGACAGACTGAAATGTGTGGGAGCACCATCATGCATGAAGTACAGCTGTTGACAGGATGCTTACTTGATTACTTGTGTAATAATTGTAGCCGGTGTCTTGCATTTTTATTCCGGCAAACAGGACGCGTCGGCGTGCACTCCATAAATTACACGCTTGGATAACTCTGTAATTATGCATTTTCGGACCCATGTTGTCATACACTATTTTTCTTCTCTCTATATGAGGAGTCCGTTCCTGAAGTTTTGTCGTTGAGTTTTGATACACCCTGTAGACCCAACTGTAATGCTATGGGCAAGTGGATTTTAAGTTACTTATTTAGTTACTTATGGAGCTGAGCCCTTCTTAAGAAGCCAAATCTGCAGCTACTCAAGAATTTTCCAGCATTTTATGGAACCCAAAAGTTCATTACCGTGTTCACAAGAGTCCTCCACTGGTCCCTATCCTGAGTCACATCAATCCAATCCATACCATCCTATCTCTAAGATCCAGTTTAATATTGAAGAAAGCAGTCTTCTGGGATGTGGTGTCCTGTAGATATTGTGTTAACAGACAATTTGGAGAAACGTATCGCCTTCATCTTCAAGGTAGAAGAAAAAGTGTTATTATCTGCTCATGCTGGTTTACTCACGGATTTCTTATTTTCCTTCAGCCCTGAAGATGGAGGTGATACATTTCTCCGAAACGTCGGTTAACACAATATCTACATGGCGCCACATCCCCGAAGACTGCTTTCTTCATAATCACTGCCATAAATATCTCAAATCTTATATTTTAATATTGTCCACCCACCTACACCATGGTCTTCCCAGTGGTAACTTTCCTTCTGCCTTTCCCTTCAATATGCTATATGCATTCCTCTTCCCCCCATTCATGCTACATGTCCTGCCCACCTCATTCTCCTTGGCTTGATCATTCTAATTAAGTGGCTAATGAATTTAAATTGTACCTCTTAAGCCCTGAATGAGTAGCATCAAAATGAAAATGAGTCATAAATTATCTTTCCCAATGAAAAACACTATGGAAGTCAAATCACTAATAAGAAAATTGTCATCCTATGCACATTTATCTTTTCTTCATGAAGTTATTAGTCCTGCTCTCACACCCTCTAAGTCTAAATACTGTCATGTGTTTGTGATTAGACATGGGGAGTGGACTGATAATTGAATTTGCTTGAGGCTTATGACTCATAATTACAAGTAACTATAACAGTCTCAATGATTTACACACTCTAAAGACCACCGGAACTACAGCACACATAAAGACTTCTTTGTATTCACTAGTCATTGCTCAGTAACTCTTCCATTCTTGTCTGACATGTTATGCAGGCTGTTGCCCAGTGGTGGACCAGGTATTGTTGACATGGAAGCATAATTTGGTTGCTACAGAGAAGTGTTTCATGATATACATACCAAGTTTCATAAAGACTGGTTGAGGCATTCATAAGTTAATACGGAAGGATTCACAGACAACATGTATATCACAGAAGCTTACCGTAAGATAACAGGCTAATAATAAATTATAACTGTAATGCCGTGGAGCAGGGGGGCATGGAGGTAGCCTCCTCTGCCACCACTGTTACGCCGCAAGTAGGGGGCCGTGGAGTCAGCCCGCCTCTGCCACCACTGTAATGCCTTGGCGGCGCAGGGGGGCGTGTAGGTAGCCTTCCTTGCCTCCACCGTCACTTACTCTGTAAGGAGTTATCACAATCATCCTAGCTCACCCTTAGCTAGGATTCTCCTGTTCGGGGTTCCTTCTCGGTAAAAGCTGCCACCATCTATTTTCTGTCCTTTCAATCGTGGGGACTACTCCCTGGCAGGTAGTCCTTGCTCCTTGACCACTCCTCCCGTAGCTTACAGGTAGCGACTTAATACTTTATTAATACACTTTATCATCATATCGCAAGGGGCGTTGGTATCTAGGCTACTTAACTCTGCGTGTGTGCCAGGTGCCTATCCCTGTTTGTCTTTCTTGTCTTCGGCTGCCACTGCTCCTGTGTCAGTTCAACCCTCGCTTTGGTCAGGATTATCGGGATTGGAGGTGGGAAAGTTGATTATAGATATGAATTACCTCCCGGTACATCCTATCCTATCTATTCTAGCTGTCTATTTACATTATTATATATATACATAATTTACATTATTTACATATTACAAAGACTGTCCTTCAGTCTTGACTACATAGAGTCTTTACTACTCGTTCTGCTTCTTTACGTTCTCCCCCTTCAGGGGTGGAGGCCTGGAGCCTCTCTCTCTCTCTCGGACTCATCTAATGGGCCATGCAAGCCCTCCTCGTGTAACATAAATCTTCTAGTTGTACATTTCTTACTACGTCTTATATACAATTCTACTATCTTTCATAAAGTTCCCTCGAAACGTGATCTACCCTTAAATATCTATATTAAATTACCACATACTATAGTTACCACTACACCCTATGTGTACCCTTGACACCGACATATAAGTACACGATCTATACCTCTTAACCCAATCTATCCTTGGTTATACGTATTGAATCCCGCATACTATCTTTACTACAACACACTAACCCTAACCTTGATATATATACTATAAATCACTGATTGCCTGACTAATATCCTAGGCTTTTACAAGATCCTGGTCCCTACCCTCAGGGCTCACTGGGTACACTGGAAATTGCACATTCAATAGCTCAACAACACTGTTATCACCAATACTATGAAACAACGATATTATCAATCAGCATGGCTATTATGCGTAAACAAACCCACCTGTAGTACAAGATGCCGGCCCACTACCTCCGCTGGTCAGACCCATGTTGAAGAGAGCCTTCGGCTGACAATTGAATATTCTGTGATAGAACGTGTTTCAAATCCCCCGAAATTCCCTAATTTATGGTTTTCTTTCGCTGATTCAGCGTTGACGACAGAGGGTAGGTGACTCCCCCTCAGTGTCCTCAATCCTCATAATCACCTCCTCATTGGCTCTCATGGGTGGTTGTGGGCGGACCCCCTTGCGTCTTATTGCTGCGTAAGCAGTCTCTTACGATTAAATCCAGTGAACGAGTGAGGTAAGCTATTGCTCTGCGATTACATAGACCTGCTGTGCAGTCACATTCTTAACCTAATTGCCAGTCCCGGTGTTTACAATTTACGGCAATAGCTGCGAAACGCTTTTCGCAAGTCTCTAGCTTTTGGGTAATACCCTACCCTCTTCAATCTCAAATTTGGGCCATAACAATAACCAAACTACAGATTATAACTTCAGAACAGACTGGTCCTACCTCCAAAATCACAATTTATTCATTATATGGTGATCCACACAAGGACACAGAGAGTCTTAACCTTCCGCATCTCACATACCACAGGTCTTTTTGCAAACAAACCATGATTCCACCATAGTAAAAATAAAGCTTCTCTTTTTGCAAGAAGTACATTTTTACAAATATATGCAGTATGCTCTCTGTTAACCAGCATGTATGGTGAACAGAGTCTGCCAATTAAACGAAACATGCTTGCATGAGAAAACCTATTAGATAACCCCAATTCAAAGACAAAACAACACATTTTTATTTCAGTTATTGTGTGGAAATCTTCCTTTGTGACATAAAAGAACAACGGGTGAAAGGTTTTGGGTACATGTATTGTAACCCAATCACGAATTCAGCTGGCCTCTACTACAATGGCAGCTATGTGAGGGAGGACGATGGGTAACACTGTTAGTGGCAGTTAAGAGAACTTCATGTGGCAGATAAAGGCATGAACATCACAAATATCCTTTTCTAAAAATCATACAGAAATTATAAATCTTCTTTGAAAATGTTGCTGGTTGGATTGGAACTCCAACTGCTTGAATACTGGATAACTGGAAGTCTCCTTTATATTTTAGTATTATATTAATCACAGATGCATGTTCATATTTTCAAGACCTCATGCACCACTCAGCCCACTGTTGAGTCACACCAGTTAAGAAAAACTGATATATAACCTGAACAGAGTCCACTCAAAATCAGTTTTGAGTATATGAGTAAAAATAAACAGCAATACGACTTCTTCATTATTTTCTCACTCACATCTGAATAATTTTTTTATCCTAACAGAAACCAGAAACAACCAGCAACGGTCTCAGAATTAACCTGCTTGCATACACAGAAACACAAAGTCCACACTCATACCTCTATCTCATTAGAAACCCTGTCCCAATGGTCAGGTTCCAGCGTTGATTTCGTTAGTGTGGGCTCCTCAGTTCGCAAAACATGACTCTCTGGAGCTACTTGCCTGAGCCGAGTTTCGGCGCATTGAGTAAGCAGTGGAAAATGCCCTTCTTCACCTGATCTATCACATAAAAGTCAACAAATAGCTGATTTTAGAAAGTTGGATGTTTAGAACATGACGAACAACATAAACTGCAAAGAGTTCCATTTTCAAGAATATAAGACCATGTAGTCTGGTGAAAGTCAACCAGCATTTCAGAGGAACATATTCTGCCAGCTCCATGCTTGTTTCTTAGTTGGCTTACGCTTTTACCATAAAGATGGAGGTGTTATGTTCCTCAGAAATATCAGTTGACTTTCACTGGAACACAGCATATCCCAGAAAACAGATATCTTCATCGTCACAGCTGTAAATCATTGCAATACAATTCTTTAAAAAAACATGATAAATATGGGAATCGCCTTGTATAATAAGATCCCTGAGCAGACAAAATTAAAGAAAAATTTTAACTCTTTTAAGGGGGATTTAAAATCCTTTCTGTTGAAACATTCCATTTATTCCATTGATGAATTTATGTCCCTTTAATTCTTAAATGAGTGTGTTATGGTTTTATGTTATGACAAATATCTTGTCCTCACTTAATCTATAAAAAAAAATTTGGATGCAGGGTTACTTTTGGTTATTGAATTGTTACAAGTGGGACGATGTACTGTATGATTAATGTGTATGAAATCAGTAGGAAGTTAAGTTTTTTAGTATAGTTGACTCATGTATGATATGTATGTTATATTAATATGTAGTTACTGACTTCTTCTATATCCAGAGGTTGTATTACCAAATATGGATTCTTGGAACAAATAAATTGATTGATTGTGAGAACTTTAAATAGAACTTAAATTATATATAAAAAGTGATAACAGAGCAATATGTTATGGTATAACAACTGCCCTAGTTATGATGCTGATATACCACCTCATTGGATCAGGAGATAGTCTAGGTGAAAATATATTCACGTGTATACAGCCATTAAAGATCAATGGATATTCTGGATACATATGTCATCATTGTAGTCATATCAAATTCAGCCAGTCCTATTTCAGAATACTCTACATCTTCCACTCTGTTCATGTTAGTAGGCGGCTCACACATCATTTAAAAACTTTTACTTAATGACTGCAGGATACTTTTCATAGCAAATACTACCGTTCATATCACTGTCATGTTGACGTGACAAGTTTGCTCTGGTTGAGCAACTGCTCCCACAATTCTGACCACAAGTACTGGATCTTCTTCTTACATGTGTCACACACTTTATATTCACATAAAGGTATAACTGTCTGCAATTCATGGGTGTATCTATCATAAGTTCTTCCTAGATCAAACAACCTTCCCATTCTGTGAACTTCAACAGTGTCTATGTATCTACTTACACTATGATTCTATTATGTGAATAAGAACATACAAATCAGCAGATAAACTATGACACATAGTAATATCACCATAGTGTTAATAAAGAGCTTAATGTGATATAAATTATATACTGCGCCAAAGCTGAAAAAGCTCACAGAAACTCATGGTGGCAAGAGACACAAAGGACTTCATAATCTAGGGCCACAACGGTGACAGTCATGTAATGTGTAAAAATAAAAGTAAGGCTATCCCTGTAACAGGCCACGGAGGCCCACAGGGTTGTGAAATGTCAAGGCTCCCACATTTTCTAGCCAGTCAGCTCACAGATGGCGGTAAAGTTGTCAGCCTTACACGCCGCCTGCCCTTTATCACCAGGAAGATTTCTAGTACTTATTTCTGTTAGAAGCTGAATTGACCCCAGGGCCATAGTGCAGCTGGAAGGATTAAGTCAACTGAAAAATCCAATGACCTGATTGGAAATTGAACCCACAACCTTCTGGCTTAGAGCATAACACCTCATCCAACTACACTAGCACGTGCCCCATCTTGTAAGGTGTACAATATCAATTATTATATTACTACTGTCCTCACTGTTATTCTGTTACAAGTGAACAAACTGAACCTCTCTTACAAAAAGATTAAAAAAGCAACAAACTTACGTCTGTTTCATATATTACTATCAAAAGTTTATTCAGATGACCTTAAAATTAATTTGTAGTCCTGCATAATATCTGGAAGCACCATATTTAATTCTCAGCCCAAAGGCCAACTTTCCTAATGAGTTTACATGGCCTTCTTAAGTACTACTAGGTTGCGAGGGTACTTAAAATAGACCATTATCACTTCTCCAATTTACATCCTCAAATGTGACACTACTGCGATCTGGGCAAGTGGGATTTGTGATGGACAAAGTGGCGCTGGAGCAGGTTTCCTCCAAGTACTTCGGTTTCCCCTGCCAATCTTCATTCCATCAAATTCTCCACAAATAAGAATATCTAACTAATTCTAAATTGTAATCAACTGTAAACAATTGTAACTATTGTAATTTTAATCTTACTCATATATTAAATTGTTAATATTCAGAATTAACTTGACTTGTCCTATATCATGTACAATGATCTACAGTGATGAAATAAATCAATCAATCAATCAATATACGAGGGGGTACCCAAAAGAAACCGAACTTATTTTTTTTAAACTTATTTATTCAAATTTTAAGCACAAACCTTCAATCCCTTTCAAAGTACTCTCCACTTACACTAATACACTTGTCTAGTCTTTTATTCCATTTTTCAAAACATTGTCTAAATTCATCTTTTGAGATGCTTCACAACGCCTCCATCGTTTTTTCCTTTCATGTCTCGTTTCATTCGAGGAAACAAAAAAAAGTCACACGGGGCAAGGTCGGGTGAGTATGGAGGGTGAGGAACAGGGGTCATACCATTTTTGGTCAAGAATTGTCATACAGACAGGGCTGTGTGAGCAGGGGCATTGTCATGATGGAAAAATCAGTCACCCGACTGCCACTAATCTGGCCGCTGAGCTCCAAATCACTCCTGACAGCTCCACAATTTCTTCAATGGTCCGTCGTCGATCTTCCTTGATGATTTCACGAATTTTTTCAACATTTTCATGTGTTCGGGCCTTGGAAGGACGACCAGAACGAGGTTTGTCATCAATTGACATTTCACCATTTTTGAAACGGGAAACCCCTCAAACACTTGAGTTTTCCCCATAGCATCGTCCTTGTACACCGTTTTTAACATTTCAAGAGTTTCTGTTCCACTTTTCCCGAGCAAAAAGCAGAATTTCACCGCGGCACGCTGTTCACGAAAATCAGCCATTGCAAAAACGACCATCACACAAAACAGTTGTCACTATAAACTCTGCCAAAACCAGTCCTTACCTTCTGAAGCAACGGTAGTCGGCTTATCGACTCAGGAATGTTAGCTCTATGCGCTCATAGCGGCAAAACGCGGTACTACAAAAGCTCTGCCCACAAAAAAATTAGTTCGGTTTCTTTTGGGTACCCCATCGTATAACCTATGTAGTGAAGAGTATAAAGGTATATTTACAATATAGTGATAATCATGTAAAATTGAGTGATTTGGTATGCCTGGTACCATTTAAAATTCGAACTTCTACAACATATTAACTGTAGCTTTATGGTGAACCTCATCTTCCATTAAAACTAAACGATGCTTAAAATTAAACTACAAGTAGGCATCATCCCCAAAGAGTAAAACTCTTCCTTGCTGAAAAGGCAGTGTAAACAAACTAAAACAACGAACAAAAATGTGATATGGATTCTGAATTATTTTTAATGAAAAAAACGAATAACTAGCTTGTATCTTGCCTCAGTATTTTCACGATTTTTTCCAGTTCCTTCCGATCGTTGCATTTTTCTACGTATTCGAATGAAATGTGGTCGATTGGAATTTCGTATTTCTTCAACAGTGATTTCTTACTTTTCATAAGCTCTTCCTGTTCAATCATGCTATAATTTTTCGATGCCTGTAAAATGTATAAATACGATTAGTGTAGTACAGGGGAGTTCTGCATGCATACAAACAGTTACACATAACCTTATGTATTAAAAGAATAAAAGTAATGTTACTTTCATTCACACATAAATTTCCATATCCAGCAGAATTTGTTCTAGTAAACAATAAATTTCTGGTAACTGTCTCCATGGCAACGTAAACAGGGAATTTGATATAGGATTTGAGATTATTTCAATATAATTAGATACATCCAAATATAGATTAACCTCTTTTATCGTACTGAAATTTCTGTTCTTCACTCACCAGAGAAAGCTGCCTAATTCAGAATTTCGAGGTTAACTACGGACTTCGTGCACCCTAATGGAATAACCACATTGCTACACAGACTACTTCTAAGTCGTTCAAGTCGTCCTAACCAAATCTGAAATTCAAAGCACCGTGTGAAACGGCAATGGATGGAAGCACACACTATCACTGCCGGTCGCAGCCTTGGATCATCCAAATTTCACTGCCATCTATTCCCAATGTACACATTTCTTCTTGCAAGCTCGGAATCGGAAATTCACATTTTCAACTGCTGGGCCGGCATCATATTTCTGTCGGTTATAACGTACTCTGCTATTCCAAATGCCACTTTCCACTACTAGGACTTATGAATAAGAATGCAGTAGAACGAAACCTCAATGTTTCAAAACAATTTAGTACTCCAATTGTAAATATTTATGTGTACAAGGGCAGGTTCAGTTATGTTCTTTATAATTTCACACCCACCGTTGGCCTAATGCTTACTTAAGCACACAAAAACACAATGAACCAAAGATTCTGAATGAAAATTTGATACAACACTTGGTTCTAACTTCCTTTCAGAATTATAACTGAAAATTAAATTCGAAGCCATTATCCTACGAAGCGTGATAATTCATAATTCATAATTAAGATGAGGGGATGTGTTTTCATTCAAGAAGATATCCAGTTTCTTAAGATATAACTGTGTAATCTTATATTGAAAATCATGTTCAGAAAAATATACAAGAAATTATGTACAGCTTGGTATTTACAATGATTTCAATATGTGTAAAACATTTTGGTAACAAACACAACCATTGCTTAAGTGCTGTCATGGTTTATAACATGCAACTATATATATGGATACAAAGCTACATATTAAAAATGTTTTGACATTAAATCAGTAGCTGTATGTTGTAATAAACCTTTACAGCAAAAATGTGATGAATAACAATGAAATGGAGTAAAAAGTGCACATTTTTTTAATAACTACATTATTCTTCTACCCCATAAAGTTATTTGAAGGCATTGATAATAAAAACATAGAGAGTTCACACAAAACATCCGTTACAGTACTTGAGGTGATCTTAAAATTGCACTGACACATTCACATTGAAGAATTACAAGCAGAGTTGAAGTAAAAACACTAGGTCAGAAGTTAGTTACCTCTACGACACGACAAAAATATCTCACAGATACCATCAGATTTTGTTAAAAAAGAACACAGCGTGTTTATATCCGATTATTATACTATCCATGCAGCTCAGAATTTCTTTGCACATTATTTGTGTTCATCAGGTAATAAATAAGAAGTTAATATCATAAAAGCTGAATTATTTTCATACTTTATAAATTCAATTATTAGTATGCAAAGTTGTCCAAAGGTTGGATATAGTGAATAAGAACTGTTTCAACTTTTATAAACTGTCATTAAAATTTCAACCCATTTATGAAGTGTTTTGCTAGTAACATGAAGATTATTTGAAGGCTACTGGCAACAATGCAGTATAATTAATTTTCACAAATACAAGAAATATGGAAAGCAATCTAGAGCATGTTTGTGAGAAAAACTCTGTGGGGTATTCTATTTCTAGACACTATACAATTTTTTGCTCTAGTACTCTGATGTTTCATGTTGAGGACAATGATGGGGTAACTGTACTGGAAAAATTGTAAACAAAAAGAACTATCCATAACTCAAACAGGACACTCTTTGGATCCTACAAGTGCGTTCCAATTCCTCAAAGTGATCCCACTCAGAATTTGATCACATTTGGATGTTGAAGTAGCGTCATTTGGGATTAAAATGATGTCAACCTTTAAAATATATGACTTCTTGAGATGACTGTATGATATACGTTTCGTGCTTGATCATATAAAAAGAATTAGATAATCAGTTCTTATTTATTTATGATTCAGTTAATAATGCTTCCATTATTTTACCATATATGTTGCAGAATGACTGATAAATTGTAAAAGATGTAAAAGGAAATGGTGATGTCCTGTTTCAAGGCACTAATCTGGGATTTGGCTGGATGAACTGTGGAAAACCATGAAAACTTCATTTAGGGTAGTTGGTGTCCTAGCCAAGATTCAAATGAGGCAGCCCCTGAACACAGGGCAGAAACATTATTGCCTTGGCAAACTTATTTGCTTTAACTGTCTTTCAAAATAAGGTAGCATAAGAGAGCACTAACATGTGGTCCCAAGGTACAAAGACCATGGTCTGCACGGTATGTTTAGTTGACTACTTGTTAGTATGTCTTATCTCTATCACAGGTCAAATTCACCAGACCTTGTTGTTTGTGTGATAAGCTTACACACCATACTCTTACAGATATATTTCTATGATAACCAGCAAATTATTCAATGACAAGGTGGCAGAATCTAGAATACAAATCGTAAAATAGGGGGAAAAAGATCAATTATCTGTCCCATCCCTAACATAATTTGAAATATATAGTTTATCCAGTGTAAATTGTTTCTTATAAGAAATTTTTATTTTTGTGTATTTGATTTAACACAGCCTGCAATTTCAAAATTCAGAATATCCTGTTTTCATTAACATCCATTTGCACCAATATACCTTATTTTTATGTTGATCATCCATATCCTACCTCCTTCAATCTTCAATCTTCAATCCTGAATGCTGAAATTATGGCTGCTTCCTCTACATAACCTCTGAGGACTTTCAGCAATAACATTTACCTATTCAAATATAGAATTCAATTGATTGTTCTTGCATGCTGTCTTCTCAGAACAGATGAAAATGAAAATATATAATATTAGGAAGTAATGAGTTTTCTACTGCTTCTACCAACAAGCACAAATTATACAATGTAAATAGAAAACATTATCTTGTTCAACATTCATCCTTTTTCATTTATCACTGTCCCCTTACGATGTACAGTAGGCCTCATCAGGTAGCATATTATCCTATCCTCAGTCTTTAAGTCTGGGGCTTTATCTCTGGCCTGGCACTTGGATGGCCAGAAAGTAAGGAAGTAGTTTGTTGTAATAAAAAAACACTGACAAATGAAGCATACCTTTTTGTATAATCACTGCCTCCACCACACAGGACTAGCCAAAACAATAGGCTATATCACTAAGATCTGCCTACATTTAAATATATTCAACAGACACATGGCATTCACTTTAAGCTGAGTTAGTAACATGCTTCAGCAATCCAGGTTTGTTCCACACTCAAGCTGAACAAGATGGAGGACCACATATTTCCACTTACAAACACTTTCAGGTCAAACAGCATTGAGGATGATACACTATGAGACTGATGAGTGTTTGGCTGTATCTGTCCACTGCTCTTCTTTGGACTACAATGTACAACAGATAATGGACGAAGCAGACTGCATTATGGAAATTCTATATATAAAAATATGGATTTTATGTCACTCATTGTACCAGTCCATGATAATGGACACATAGACTTTCTCTGAAATGTCAGAATTTCACTCCATATCCAGTCAGATTATTGAATGAAAATACTCAACTGCATTTAGTGCCATGAAGATTAAGATTTTATATAACAGTGTACAATTTTTATCAGAGTGAACTATGAATTCACTTCAAAAACGAAATTTGAATAAAAATGTGGGGTTTGAGAAAACAGTTATATTTGGCCCAAATATCCCTGAGCCACAGTGATGTCCCACCCAAAAATGTGTTTAGAGCAATGTATGGCTGTAAAAGTGCAGAGTATATTCATTTAACCACTCATCTGAAATATATCTCCTATTAAGTTGTCCAACATGCAAGTTTACTAGGTTGAATGCCATATTATATGGCTTCTACATCTACACTTGAGAGGTATAATTATTAATATACTTGTTTCATTTTCTCTCACTTGTTATTGGCTCATGCTGTGAAACCAATTATCATGTAGGAACACCAGTCCTATGTGTCAGTGGGAAAGGCACAATCCATATTGGAATACACCAAGTTCCCACATATGTCCTTTTCTCCTTGTCATTCTGAATGCTTCTTGCTGTTCTGAATAACTTTGATAAAGGTGATAATAATAGTATGTACAACTGTGATTGCTATGGTTACTGCACTTCAAAAGCAGTGCTTCTGTCACTCACACCTCAGAAGTTCATGTGTCCATCATGTTGTTCATGCCACCTGAAGGAAAATAAAATTATGATTTTATGAAAACTGATCTGGCAGTTCATAAGTTCAAATATGTGGATGAAGAGATGCACATTACATCCACTGTAAGCATTCCTTTTATGCACATGATTCAAGTAACTCATAAGAAGTCACTTTGCACTACACTCTACTGTGAAAAATCATATATTTCAATTCAGCCAAATCATCAGAAAGTAAATGATAAAGGAATTATGTAATTTATTCTTTATGACACTTCTTTTAGCTTCAGAAAGTATTAGAGAAAATTACTGATCATTAAATTCAAGGTTACTGTCCCAAAAAACACTGAATAAGAAGTAAAATTTTATTGTTCTTGAGAATGATAATTAAGCAGTCTTTCAAATTTGTCCATAATTCGGGGTTCAGATATCTCTATTACACTAATTACTGACTGATCCTTTGAATTTATTAAATGAAAAAATAGAATGATAAGTATATTTGAGTCTGAAGACAGAGGCATTATGGTCCATTGAAACATCAGGCTCCCTTCAAACTGCATGGCGTTACAAACCAAATGACTGTACTCTTTAACTAAATACATGTTCATGTATCATAATAATGCAGGATAAACTATCTTTATATACAAGCATGGCAAATTGTTGAAGTGGATGTTGACAAAGAAAAAAACTTCGTGGTTTTAGTCCGCAAGCGAACTATACCAACTTAATGACCGCCACTTGTTGGCAAAGTTAATATTTTATTTTTAAATTCACATAGTGGGGGGTGGAGTCCAGTTGGGTCCAATCGGCATGGCGGCCACTGATTGACCTATTGTACCTGCCCTGGGTGACTATGATGATGGAAAATTTGGTGGAATGAAGATTGGCAAGGGAAACCGAAGTACTCGGAGAAAACCTATCCCAGCACCACTTTTCCCACCACAAATTCCACTTGACCAGACCCGGGTTTGAACCCGGGCCGACGCGGTGGGAAGCCAGCAACTAACCCCTTGAGCTATTGCATGGCGTTCTGGCAAAGTCAGTGCCAACTTTAGCAGATACAGAGTGTCGAGTGGTTAGAGCAATGAATCCCCATGGCTGTTAATTTTGGTTTTCTAGACCAGAGCTGTTATTTCCTTGAAATAGCTCCTCAGTTATCCTCACGGGGCTGAGTGGACCCCGTTGCAGACCCACTACTTCTCAGAAAATTTGGTAGTGCCATGAATCAAACCCAGATCTCTGGATTTTTAGCCAGGAACTCTGACCACTAGACTACAGAGGTGGTCAACTGGATGGTGACAATGTGCTTAAATGTGCATTCAAATTAGTTTTTGTAACTGAATTAATAACATTAATACAACTGATCAGGTTGGCATAATATTAACTTTCTAAACCCATGTCTGGGGGGTGCTTGGTTCAAGTATTGGCTGGGACACTGGGCCACTCCAACTGAGTTGTTTTGTGGTTTTTCTGCATCTCCAGGCAAATATCAGAACAATTCAATTCAATTACAGTACCATGACTGGTTTCTTCTAATTTTTCCTATTCATCTTTCAATAATTATTGAAAGACTCTGTATGATGATTATGATGATTATAATCATCTTATGATTCAATGCTACAGAGTCTAAGATACTGAAAGCATAATAAAATAACCCATAAAATAAGCACAATAATTTGAGTTTTACATTAGGTTACTGTGGCTCAGAATATGATTCCATGGCAGGCTCCTGTGAACACAATAATGGACTTTCATGTTCACAAGAGGCATGGAATTTCTTGATTACTGAGAAGTTATTAGCTTCTCCATAAGGACTCTGCTAAAGGGAATTAGTTTTTTAATTTTAAGCGAATGCCTTCATCACCCTAAATAATTTTAATCTAAGTGGGTATAATGATAACCTTGAAATAAGATGGCAGTGACCAAAGAATTTTCGAACATTTATCAGTTTTGTTCATGTTTATTTCTTGATAAGAAAAAACACTCGGAACCAGTTCTGAGAACAAAATGGCAGACAGCTTTAAGACATAATTATGTACTTATAAGATCTAACCAGTTTCTCTCATTCTTATCTTGGGCGCATGGATAGCAGTCACAATTGTCCATCACATATTCATGTAAGTCAACGACACCATATAGGTTTAATCATGTCTGAAGTTTGGAACCTTTTCTGCTATCTTTAAATAGGTATCTCAGGGCAAGAATTAGAGCATGGGACACTTTTAAACCAACAGCAAACACTCTCCTTATACGTACCTACATTATACACTGTGTAACACCCCAGTTTAAAAGTCTGTTGGTCATTCATTGCGCATGTGTGTGTGGCCCAGCAGGCCAAGCATTCCTCTTCTTTGACAGTAACACCATTACCCTCAAGTTAAAATCCAGCTGCTGTTTTCATAGTACCAAGGGATTTAAAATCCCCTGTTGTGGAACAATAGAGGTTAAGAGCTTCCCAACCATTAACTTACAATAAAAACCACTGAGCCTTATAATATCTAATACAGAAAACATAAAATATATATAAAGCAGTTTAGCATTTCTTCTCAAGTTTGAAATGTTGGTTTCTCTTTCAGTATTAAGTTTTGCATTAAGACAATGTGAGTCAAATATCAATACAGCATTTCTCATTTTAAAGCACTTGTTGTCTAAATTAAATACAAGTTGGGTTATAAAAATTAATTTACATATAAAATATTTAGTGTGTATTAATATGTATACTATTTTATCTAGGAAAAAGCAACAAGGATAAGCCAAGACATACAAAAGAAAGCTATAAGACTCGATGTCCCTTATTTTTTGCACTACATACAGAGGTTAGTGCAGAAAATCATGCATCTTAGCTGTATTCAGTTCCATTACATATTGAATAGTAAGTACATTTGCCCCAGTTAATTTTTTCTTTAGTTTTAATATATCTTTGAACAGATTTTAATTTATGAAAATAAAATTTAAACACTTTCTGAAAATTTCATACTGTTTTAAAGGAGTACATGTTCCTAAGAATACATTTACTTGTTCATTTTTTGATAATGTAACACCGTTCATCAGAATATATCTGAAACCGAGACACAATAATGTTTGCTTTCATAAGTTTAATAAGTACTGGGCTCAGTCTTTTCTTTGGGCAAGGCATCAACAAAAATGTGTGTTCTCACTACATTTTTATTTTATGAATTTGTAGATTTCACAAAGCTGGTTATACTTAACCAGCAATTTTTTTGTGAGCAGCTTATTTTGTTTGTGGGACTACAAATTAAGAAATGTCACTACATACCACTTCTGATTCTGATATTTAAGAGTGCAAAGCTACATTTTATAATGCTATATGTTAGAGACAAGGACCCCTCTTGCTGAAAGCAGAGAGGTGAAGAATATTTAAAAATTATTAGATAGACATAATTTATTTTGTTATTTCTAATCATTTTATTACATCTGTGATTATTTTTTTAGTATGTTCTTTAATGATGCTGCCAGTATTAAGATTGTTTAATACTGGATCATAATATGGTTAATGAATGAGCAGCAGTTAGCAGAATGAGAATTGGTAGGGTAAATTGTAGTAGTCAGAGAAAATCCAACCCAGTGCTACTTTGCCCATCAAATATCCCACGTGACCTGATCTCGAACTGAATCCAGGCTGCTGCATGGGTAGCCAGTGACTAATTGTCTGAGATATAGCATGGCCCTATTATAACAGTAATAATTTAATTGTAGTATTAGGTAATTCATTCCAAATATCAACATACATAATTTTCTCCCATCGTGTATAATACATATTTATTTCTTACCAAAGTTTTGCTCAAATTGGTCTTGCTCAGATACATTGCTTATCCAACAACATTTGGTTTAGCAACTGTAAAGCAGAGAAGGACATAGTGACATTATAAGTTTAAGAGATGTCTGGGTTTTTGCATTGCTAATGAAGCTATGTTTCAAGAGGCTTGTCCACATCAATGTCTGGAGCATTAAACTGTTGGGCCAAGTGTGTTGGCAAAACAAAAACCTAAGCGAAAAAGAGTTTCAGATTACAAAAATTGTTAATGCATAATTTTATCATTATGAATATTGATGAAACTTTATTCCCCAAAGACATAAAAGGACAAAGAAATTATACTGTAATGACCGCTTTTGCTACTCCATTAAAATGAGAGGTGCTTCAGTTATGCTTCATTAAGATGCATGATTAATACATAAAAAGGCATTCCAGCCATTAGAAATGTAATAGAAGTACATAATGATGCTGAAGGCCAATATCTGATTTAATTGCTATGCAATACAAATGGATATGGCCAGAATATTTTACAATAAATCTATATTAATGTGAGCAAGCTGCAGCAGCACTACAATATTTATGCAGTCACACATGAAAGTGTAACAATAAAATGAGAATATATCAACTGAGAGAACATATGAAACAGGAAAAGAAAAGGGGATACCAGCTAAAACATGCATATACTTGTTGACTGGCAACAGAAAATATTTATGATGATAACCCAAACTGTGTGTAAAACCATAAGTGTAAAAGGGGTATACACTAATATATTCAAATTCTTGTAGATCTGCCCCATATTTAGGAATCTGTATGAAACCTTCAAGTGGACTGTGATTTTCCTCAGCCATCCTGGGAAAATTCTGAGGGTTACCACAATGCTCCTTTCTTAGTTAAAACAACTTGCATTTGCAAGTGTACATTTTAACAACACAAAATAACTTCAAGGCTTCAATCCGTTCAATTTTGTATTTAAGACAAACTAAAAAACAATCTCACATTTTGCAATATAAAAGATTTTGACAGGAAAACTAGCAAAAATATAAAAAGTAATATTTACTACATTAGTTGCTACTTGGGAGACAGCAGGAAATATCCTATATGGATATGTAAATTTCATCATCATATATTATGAACTAAAAGAAATTGTGAAAATATCAATTTTTGCTTAAGGCATGAAAAATAATTCAGCCAGAAATTTGTCATTTAACTGGATCATAAATCATTCCTTTTCTTTAAATTATATATTGCATTTTTTCAACGGACCTAATCTTTCTGGCCACACTATGGCCCTGGGGTCAACTCAGCCTCTAACAGAAATGAGTACCAGGAATTAATTAAATAATTTTCCTGGGGAGTAAAGTGTGGCCGGCGCGTAAGGCTGACAACCTTACCGCCATCTTTGAGCCGATTTTCTAGATAATGTGGGACCCTCAACATCTCACAACCTTATGGGCCTTCATGGCCTGTTACAGGGATAGCTTTACTTTTTTTTACTTTATTTGATAGTACTAATATTAATTGTGATCTTTTTTATAATAGCCAAGTATATTAATAATTGGACTTAAGAATGCTGAATATAATTACATCTGCATAGTATTTTTTAGTAAATGGTTCACTGATGTTGGTTTGAAACTCCTATGTTTTATTACTCAAGAAATAATTAAGCAGGTCATGAATATGGATTTTATTTCATATCTTCACGGATCTGGTCAACATGTTTTATATCATTAATTCCTTTGATGGCTTGAAACCAGACAAACAATCCTCAATATGAGGCAGATGGACTGAATTGCTTACATTTGGCCCCTTTCATGTTCAACACATTACATTCTAGCACAGCCTTGTAACATCAATCAGTATATACAATAAAAACGTGTCCCATTCACTTTCAAAATATTCTGCAAAAATACACAAAATTTTGGTACACATCATTCCAACCATATAGTAAAATACTGTCAGTGGCAATGTACTGGCTACTTACTAGTACTCCCTCGCTCTCCTGTATTATCTCTTACATCATGACAACCCACAATAGTTGTTCAAATTAAACCTGTTCACTCATCTGGCGAGGCCATGGTTACATGGAAATTCTAGCACCAGCCTAAGAATTCTGTGTGGAGGAAATCCACCAACTGGTGTATCAATTGAAAGTCTACCTCAATGAGCATGGAGTATTTTTTAACAGCTTCTGCTCCTTCACACAGAATGATTCTTGTACAAGTTTAATTTGAACAACCCACATACATGAGTGGTTACATATTCTCATGAAAACAGAATGATTGAGATCAAGATAGAAAACCAGAAAAGAATATGAACTGGATGCTGGGACATGGCTGCAATGGAAGCTGCTTACTTATGCAATGTCATCTAACAGTAGTGTTCCATAACCATCCAGTAATATTCAATCAGCTAAAGAATTCAACAGAACTGCTATCCAGTTTCTATCTAAAATGAGATAAGGGAAATAAAAAAATTGATTTCTTTGATTATATATATCTACCATTCACCTCACTAAATAGTTCAGACTGTTCCACACGGATTTCAAATTCACTGGTATTTCTACTACTTCCCAGTACCTAAAACATGAATCTGAGAAGTCTGGAAGGGCATAACCCAATTATATAATAAAAGGTAAAGTTTTCCTTGTGTTAGAATAATTAGGCACCATGCCATGAAGACGCACAGGGTAGTGGAGGTATAGTTTCAACACACTTGACTTCAGCAGTAGATGGGGGGGGGGGGTGAATGGTCAGCTTCATGCCCCAGTTGATTTACTCGCAGGGAAAGATTCCCTGGTACCCACTGGATATGAGGATGGGTCAGATCCTAAGCTGATCTGTACACTACTGGGGCTATTACTCCAAACCTTTGGTCATCCAGCCTGTAGCCAGTCACTATACTGACTATGCTATCCTGGCTATCCAATTAGATAATCCTTGAAATATTTCTATATACTTGTAAGGATATTTTCATAGAAATGGGAAGAAAAAAAAACATAATACATGTTAAACGATATGCAGAATGAGGAGTCCTAAACATGACGAAGAAATTTTCAGATTAAACCAAAAGGAAGATTTAATGATATGAAGTATCTAAGAGTTATATCTTCTGGGATATGTCATGTAGTCCAGTGAAAATCAATCAAAGTTTCAAAGAAACATATCACTTCCATCTTCATGCTTGAAGAATAAGCCAGACACTTAACCAGCATGAGGCAAGCAGCAAGCTGTTTCATGCTGGTTTCCTCCCTGGCTTGATGATGGAGTTGACTTTTACCAGACTATGCAGCATGACCTCCAAGCAGTTATAACACTTCATGAGCTGTGAGAACCTCAAATCCTACATCTGAACTTTCAATCAGAACACAATAAATTTCTTCAAGCAAACCAGACTATTCACATTCTAAAATTTAAGGATATAATTAATTCTATCACCATTAATTCAAAACTGGCATTAACATAATTAAACTTAAATAGCTGCAAACATCTATTTGGAGGAGAGAAGAAATTTTATATTTTTATAACTGATTTTAAGTCTTTTGATCAATCTAGAGACTCAGGTTTCCTAACCTAGAAAGCAGGAAAAGGCAGTGATATTGTGGTGTACTGTGAGGCAGCTTTGACTGAAGAGAACATGCCAGTAACAAGAAATTTAACTTCTTTGAATGGAGGAATACTCATAAAATCACAGCTGCCAATTCAAACCACTGATACAGGTATACCTCAAAATCTTCTCACAAGACAGCTGCAACAGTAGAGAGAAATTTTTCCTACTGATAATTTGTACAATATGAAAGAATAATAATTTGCAAATACATAAGTGTATGCATTAATATAATAATATGATACAATCATTATTAAATATTAAAACATTTGCATGATTTGACTACGATCAAGTCTATAAAATTTAGCAACAGAATAAATATGTCAAATAAGAACTTCATACTTTCAACATCAATCTTTCATAACAATTATATACTCTGAAATAAAAAATAACAAAGAATATGACTAGCACTGTCTGTTCACACAACAGTTTTGAAATGTCAAGAAGGGCAAAATAAATTCATATACATGTACTACTTGTGCACACTTATCCCCTCTATACAGCAATATGAAAACATCAATTCGTACATTTTGGCTTCATTTACCACCTGAGGGACTAAGGAAAGTGGTTATTCCTTAACTTTTCAACCTGACCCCAGCCCTTCAACTCCCACAGCATTACAATCAAATAAAATTATTTTCCACAGATAAATTAAAAAAATATTACTCTTAAATTCTTTCTCCTAGCAGCAAATATTTGTGAGAAGCATTTTACTTTAAGATAAACTGATGATTCTTCACCAAGCAAATAAAAATATATATGCCAGAGTGAAACCTGTGAGCTTATACTTCTTTACTGTTCTCTCTTACTATGTCAAAAATACCAATAGTGACCTCTCTCTCTTTCTCTCTTCTACTTCTCTTGCCAAATAAATAAAATGTTACTTAATTATGTAGAAAGAACTGGTTTAAGAAAATATAATTGAAAAAATTCTATTAATGAATTTAAATATATTGTGATTGACACGCATGTAAAAAATCTAAATGATACAATAGACAGAGAAATAATAAGAGATTATGGAAAAGATAATGTGCTTAATCAAATTCTGATTAATAATGGACAATTTAAAGCCACCTGAAGATGGTACTAGGTACCTAGACAGCTTATGATCATTGAATCTTGCAACATTAAATCTGTATTGGATTAAAAATTATGAAACAATTGTAACTAAAGCCTGTGGTAATTACGACCACTATAAAATTGAATTTTAAATTTGGGTTCAGTGAGATATGTTTTGTGCTTTAATTTCCACACAGCTCTCCATGTAGCTGAGAATATTTGTATTACCACTGCTGGTGGCTGTTTGCCACAGCATGCAGAAACCAAAGTGCTCGGTGGAATGCATGCTAAACCTTGTTCACAGGACTAATGGCAGGGCTAACAATGAAACTAAGTAAGTACAATTTTTGTTAAGCATCTATAAACAACTAACCCAAGATTTTCATTCTTAATCATAATACTGTTAGTACATCATAACATTATTCAGCCCCCTGCACTATAAGAACCAGCAGAGTAATTAGAAAGTTCATTCTTAAAGCCTTATCACACGTTGCACCACAGCACTGTTCTGTCATTGCTGTCTTTATCATAATAAGAGGTGCAAGTTAAAACTTATCATTCTCACGGTTTGCTGCTAGAATATAATAATATCAAAAGAAGCAACCAGGTGCACACTACACAACATGAATATTGGTCCTGAGAGCAATAATTAATTAACCTCAAAAGGTTTGTAACAATTGTTGATTCATTACAGCAGCATAATGTTGAACACTGTCCACTGTCAGAGATGTATCTGATATACAGAACATTTCAGGATCTGTCTCTATTTAAATCTGGACAAAACGTTTCAGAAACTGAATGTGTTTTCATCCTCAGCTGACAAGGCAGCTACTCAGTTGGGTCCATTAGAAAGAGCTAATATCAATCACTGGACTTGGTCTAGCTCTTTCTAATGGACCCAGCTAAAGCTGGAATATATCTACTTTCCAAAACATTGCATTCTGCCAGTTAGGATATTAGTCTAGTATTTAAAAGGTCTATGGTTGAATTCTAACCATCACCACAAATGGAAGGACTTGGAACAATGTATGTTAAATCATGACGTACAGGACTTCCTATAGGACACTATACAAGCACATCATCTGTTAAGTATCTGTAAAGAACTAACCCAATTCTTTCATTAGCAGATTAGTTGTCAGTGTACTAGCTTATTATTCTAAAGGCCCTGGGTTCAATCCAAAATATTGGCATTAACATAAAGAAAAAAGAGCAATGAAATATCTGTCAGTAGAGTAACAACCAGTCATTTGAGGACCAGGAGCAGAGACAATTCCTGAAATGTTCATATCAAAACATCAAAACAATGGACAGTGTCAAGAATTGTACTGGTGCAATATTTAATGTAAGAAAATTGCTTTTAACAGCTTTGGCATCTTGTGAAAGTGCTGCAGGATAGTAAAGCATTACTGTAATTGTAAATATATTCTGTGCTGGACTGGGATGTACAAACACTAGCACCGCTTGGTGCTGCAAGGAGCTACATCAAGCAAAAAGTAGTATTCTAGTAACATTTAGCAACAACTACAGAGACTTCATGGTAACTGATTCAGTGTTAAACTTTCTCTAAACCTTTGTAGTTATCATTATCTACTAAATACAGATTAGAAAGTTTTCAAGACTGAGAAGAAAAAATTTGTAATATAACATAAAAAGGTCAACATTTAATTTTAATATCTAATGGTTCCAGATACAAGACTTATTTTATCATTTACACGTAGTGAATAATATTGCAGATGTAGTTTTCCTATGACACCATGTTGTAAAATCAGTGCTGCCATACATACATAATGATTTATAAACAATGAGATTATGAAGGGGGCTTTATGTTATAAGAACCGTTTAATGATTCTGATATGTAATTACATTTTTCAAATGTACACTTTTCAATTCTTAGTCTATAAAAATGTGCTAATGGTGTCTGAAGCTGCTGCTGTCATAACTACAACAATGCTACAGATCACAGGACAACTCACCACATTGTGCTGCCCTCTATGAAACACTGTGGTACCGTTTCGTTGGATGACTTGGTCATAAGGATCAATATAAGAACAGTGAAGCATTCTTATCTAAAATATTAACAGCAGAAAAAACTGGCAATTGATGTGAGTGGGGGAGGCAGTTACACTTTCAATCTTACCAAAGAACTTATGCAAGAAAGGAAACGCTGTTTATATCATGTGGCTAATTATCGGTTTATTTTCAGACAGGCAGCACTAAACGGGACCACAACTGAATGATGTAGCTCCAGGCTATAGGACCAGTGTCATTTAAAGACCCTGATGGAGACCGAAAAAATTTGCAGCATTTGGAATATGTTATAGCTTTCCATTCAAAAATAACATTGACTCAACAGCTCGTTACAATGCACGTTACTGTCCACTGTTTTAATATCAGGTAACTATCACATGATATGGAAGAACACTAATTTAAAAAGGTGCACATCAGCTGTTTGAAACGAAACATATTTGAATTTCAAGTACGAAATATTGAACATGACTATAAAATGTTAACTGCATCAAAAGAAGGTATGACACACCACCTATCATGATCTGACTAAAATACACACAAATTACATTAATTAAACTAAAAAGAATTTCTTCCCTGCTTTTCAGAGAGTAGCCCAGTTAGAACCTGGGTAAAAGGACCATTTTAAGACAGGAAAACACCAGGATTATTTTCCTGTAGTAAATCTGATAGTTGTTTAATTTATTTGCAATGTGCAAAAAAGAACTGTTTTGTTCTGATGAAATTTTGGGCTACTGTATACTTCCTTATTTATGTGTCATGTAGCACCATCTTCTCCTTTTTAAACAGCTTAGCAAATTATATATCTTTTTCACAAAGAATTAATTCCTTGTGCCAGTATGTCTTACCTTGTTTTGACACACTAAAACCTCACCTACATAATATCTTCATTTGTTCAAACAAAACACCTTTGGCCAACCACATAAATTTCAATTATTTACTTTGGCAGATATATTGGCCTTGCAGAAACACACAGTGGAAATATTAAAATGTAAAAAAAAATTAACTAATTAAAATTACATATTGTTTCTGAAAATGTCTCCTTTACAATAAAATAATACTCACAACACCATCCGTAGTTGAAGCTATCACAAAACATGTAAAGCTTTCCGGTACTGTAAGGTAAGAAAGCATCTCTTTCACAGCGACAGGGGTTTCATATATTTTAAAACTTACAATTAAATGTTGGTAATTCACATTAGTTTCGTTTTGTATCACTTTGTATTGCTATGATGACATCTGCTGACTAGAATATCACACCGTGGTCACCCACACATCTAACAGGGTATACCACCAATCTTCAACACATATTACTTTCTGTAGCTCCATGTATTTTAACTGTCAAAATTCGCACTGATTTGTAGAGTGTTACTGTAACTGAAAATTACACTCTCTGGATTGTTCAACAATTATTAGTTTATTCTAAAAAATAAACCATGTTGACAATTTATGAGTGACCCTGCACATCCTACAAGCCCTAGTGTCAGTAATCAGCAAACACTCTGTTGTTATGATCCTGTCTGACATGGCAACACCGCTTGCACACTCTTTTATCCCACGACTTTTCTTATGAGAATCCTTTATAGTGTATGAAAAAGAAAATAAGAAAGACAGCGTAGGCAGTTGGAAATGTGATCCTGGCTATGACATCAATGGTCTTCGCTACTCGGATCGGATGTGGAGGTTCCTTCTTTCTCACCTATGAGAAGATAAACAGAATATCAGTGTGTTAATCTATCTATGGACATGTGAAAATGTACTGCACTTCACATCTCTGTACATGATACGCCTGGGAGTTCATTTTATTTTAAAGTCACTTTCATGTTGCAACATAAATATGATGTATAAAATGAATCTTAACAAAATTTTAATATATAAATTTTATTATAGTACATGATGAATATACATTTTAAATCATTTTATAAACGACACATGATGGTGAGCAGTGGAATAGTTTAACGTAAATAACACACCTGAGGACGGCACAGTGATGCCGAAACATGTAGTGAAGTGATATGTGAGATTGTGTGCACTAGAAGACGGTCAATACATACACATCATGGACGTGAATCAGTGCAACAGGACGCTAAAATACAACATTATAAATTGCCACAAATTTTCTTCTTGCAAGTCCCAACATAACAATGAAAATTCAGGTTCCTGGTAAAATATAATATACAGATGTAAGTCATATTTATACATCAAGTGTTCAAGTAGACAAAGATAAAAAATGTATGTTTCTTTAACTTTGCTGTATGATTGTGATTTTAATACCATATAAAATAAGATACAAGAGATATAACTTAGAGATATCCCTGCTTCGATATACAACAGAATAAATAAACCTCAGCTCATCACTGGTACCAGTCGTTTGAACACACAGAACTGACTCTACAGTAACTTTGAAAAGCAATTCCAAAACACAGTATGGTCCATATTTATAGCGCACAGTTTATCTGAAGAAAAGACCTGAATGAAGAATAGTTACAGTATGCGTCAAAAAATCAGTACTGAAACTGTCATATCTCGAATGTGCATGTGCGTTTGTCGACAGGGCATAGCTCCAGACGCAAATGTTCCCAGTAGTAAAAAGGAAGTTGTGTTGTGCAGCTGTTCTTGGAAATGGGTCTCTCGACGGAGGAAAAAGTATTCACAGTTGAGTATTATTTCCGCTCATACTGAAGTGGTTGCCAGACAACTCGCTTCCTTTGTTTTGAGCGGCCAGATGTTATCGTCCAGAGACCACTACACAGTACATGTGTGACGGTGTGCCGTCTCAGCACATGGTATATTAGGCCCCTGTTTCATTGAAGATGAGGAAGGCAATGCTCTTACTGTCACCCAAGAACGCTACAGGGACATGGTGATCGAGCCATTTCTTCAGGATTTGAGAAGGTTCTGTCATGCAAGGGGCCTTCACATGAATAGAGAGTGGTATCAACAGGATGTCTTTTCATTTCAGTACTGCAAATTTTGGCACATTCTGTACCTCATTTCATATGAGGGTCATACAAATAAAACCCATTTGACTGGCCATATTCATAAGTAGCACTGTGAATGGATTCTATTTGGAAAACACTCATATATAACAAAAGGATTGACTAACTTCTTGGAACATACCTCAGTTGCACATCCATTGTTGGCTGTATGTGTACATGGGTTGGGACCACAGTTTGTGCAACTCACAATCTCATTTGGGCCAGAAGTTTCCCGTTTGTTTTTGTCACCCTGCACACAAACAAATGAAAGCAAGTAATTATAACACATTATAGCATATCAAATATTGCACAGAAATGGTGTGTAGAGTCACACAGTAAATGGCAGATACATGAACAGCACTGTTGTTTTCACTGCACTTAAATTCCATTTTTAAGTGTGTTAACATATGTTTATTAGTTAGTCAATTTTCTGGTCATCAGGCACAGCCTGTCAAGTAAATCATTTAGAGTGTTTAATTTACACATTAGAGTGAGCTATATTGTGTGTTTGATACCTCCCAATCAGAGAACACTTGCTTCACAGGGTATTGTTATGACAGCCATGTTTAAGTGATTGTTCTCAGCCTGCTAACAATCCAGTTAGACTGTTGTGATACAAGACATCTACAAAGTACATCAATATTAATTTATCAGCATACAGTAATGTATATTTCCTATGAATCTAAGAATATCAATGTAGTCTACTAATATAACTACCCAGCACAGTGTTATTTCTAATGGAGGTATCATCTTTAACATTTTGCATGTTGTATTTTACTCAGAAACCTTCTTCTGTTAATATACTTCCATGCCAATGTGTAATGTATATTTGTATCTTGGAAAAGTCTTGAATAATTTTTAATGTTAAGAGAGGTCAGGACATATTTCTTTAATGACATTATCACACAACAAAAGAATCCAGATGAGGATCTGGTGTTTCTGAATGTGATACATTGTTCTTAGCATGGAAAGGGTTATTCAAACAGAAGTGCAATGCCCGCACAAAACAGATATAGCCCAGATGCAGGGACTTGTAGTTCTAGTGTAACTATTCAATCTCTTTCTTTAAGCCAAAAACAACCTATGTTATCTCATCATGCAGCATGTACCTCTTGGTTCTGTGTGGACTCTACATGGCCACCAGGACAAACTTGTTTAAATTCAAAATAGTGATGGCTTTACTTATGCAATTTAACTCTTCTTTGCAACCATTTTACAACAGTTATTTGATTCACAAGAGGTTGTAATTATTATTGTTGTCAAACAAATTCCCAGGCTATACAATTGATGCAGTTAGGTTACTAAACTCATGTTTAAAGCAGTTTGCAAAATGGCTGCCAATTAAAGATACACAGAACTATACATACAGTCATTTAAAATTGAGCATATGAACTACTGCCAATTTAGGATGAGTGAATGTGATTACTTCAGGTGTCAGTTTACAGTGGTGTCACAACAACGTGCAAAAAATGTTGTTATTCAATATGCTCTGTCCCAAGTGAATGTGAATGTTGGAATGTGATACTACAAGCATACCAAAAATCAAATACACTATTCATTATGACTATGGTACAGATGGCAGAAACATGCATACAGACAGCAATGCTTACTCTGGTTGCAATTGCATAGCAACTAAACTAGCTTCTGGCAGTCCCAAGCTTGCACATAATATGATAACTCCTGCATGAGCTCTGGCAGAGCCAAGATTAAGGTAAAGTATGTGACACAACTACAACTGTTCAGAAGCACCTATGGTACCCCTTAACCCCCTCCCAACAACTCTCATTATCAAATTACAGTAGCACTGTAGTAACAGCTTGACAAGCAGAAGCAGCATGGAGACAACAGGTGCAGATGCTATGAAGACAACACCCAAAGCATGTATCTCGTCCTGCATGGCTACAATACAGAACTTCATTCAGGAGAAGGGAGAAGCTTTCAGTGTTTTCCTGCATTTGAGCCCTCAAACAGGAATGACCACATCCAAAAGGCAGAAAACTTCTATCTCTTCCAGATGCCACTACTATTGAATGCATATGCCAAAAGCTAGTCACAGAAGTTTCAATCTACTCTGTGTCTTGTAAGAAGTATGGCTGCTAGACTTTTGTACTTTTACTAAGATTTTGACTCTTCCTCCCATTAACAACAAATTCTTCACAAATCCATTAAGAAACTATAGCTAACAAACAAATCATTTCATTATCTCATTTGTGATAGATGTTTGTATGGATGCAGTTCAAATGAGGTCCTAAGCTAGTCACATTCTCTGCAAGAGCAAGCAAGAAGAGCCATTGATACCTATCTGTAGCAAATGTGATCCATTCTCTGTTAATATCTAAATTCCATTTTGCCTAATGAAACCAATCATTGATATATTGGGTTTCTGGACTTTATCCATCGTCCTGGTTTTTAAGATAACAAATAAAAACACGACATATCAATCACTGTCCAGTGATTGAGGCTAGCTCTTTCTAACAGACCCAACAGAATAGGTGTTTCCCTTTTCCTTCACCTGAGGACGGAAACAGATCCAGTTTCCGATACGTCGTGTTTTTATCTGTTATCTTAAAAACCAGGACGATGGATAAAGTCCAGAAACCCAATATATCAGTGTGTTATACACCATCGTCAGAATCCTATAGAAACCAATCATCCTAAAAGTTTGTAATTCTTTCATCTTACCTTTCAAATATTTTAAATATATTTGCTCTTTTACAGAAAAATGAACTAGCAAAATCTGTTAAGTGTGTAAAATGTGAAATATTATTTTCAAAAACAAAATGTTAGCTCTCATTAGGAAAACACATGTTCCTGAACTTGGCTATTCCCCGTGCTCTTGCATACAGTAGTAATGACATTCCACACTGGATCCTGACATTTCTTCTATATTATTATCTTAAATGAAAAGAACATATAATAATTAATACCAATAATGTTAGAAGTTCACTGTGGGATCCCATATTTCTCTGGCACACCTGTTTAAAACAAGACGAGGAATCAGACACATTACTAATTTAAAGTTTAACATTTGTCATACACACTCATTTATGGAAGTCAATGGTGGCTCACATTCCTTTGGAATGATGAGAACTTGTGGTGGGCCACCATTGCCATACTCTGTGTCCCACATTCACATAGCGTTGTGGTAGTTCATTGAATCTTCATGACAAGGGACTTGAACCTAATGCCTCTAATGCAACATTCTGACAATACCACAAATCTGTCACTTTATTGTGATGTAATATTGACTAATGTAAGGTTTCTGTATGTTTATATTAGTAAGGGTCACATCACAGATAAAGCAATAATTTTAACAAATATCATGAAACATGATACTGTGTTTTATCTTTGACATGCCCTGCAAATCAATGCAGTTTCATGTAAATTAATATATGCTATGTATCAGTTTGTCCTTAACCACTAACGCTACATGTGTCACATTTATATTTCATGCCCATTCATTTTAAAGTGATTTTAATGACTGTATTTCATGCTTTGGAGCCTCCATCTTACCTTCATTATGGCATCAGGACTGCATACTTACCATGGAAGATGATGTTATGAAATGTTTTAAAAACGTTCTTTGCTGTTTTTTTTTTTTTTTGGCCTAAGAACCCAACCAATTAACTGCTAATATTAATAATGCAGATTTCTGTCTTCTGGAATATAACGACATGTAATCTGGTGAAAGTCAACCAACATTTCAGAGGAATAAATAGTCTCCATTTTCAGGGTCGAAGAGTAAGTCAAACGAGAAACCAGTACAAAACAGGCAGCAAGCATAGCCAGACTACATGGCGTTATACTCCAGAAGATGGAACACTTCATCGCCACTGTTGTTAGAACCTCAAATCCTATACAGTATTAATAACGTTTAAACATTATGACATATATCACTATTCCAATTTAAAAAAAAAAGAGATAATTTGAAAACTATGGGCTAATTGTTTATGAAAGTGTCACACTAAAGTCTTCATGTGCTTATCTTATCTTTAAAGCATTCAGTCATCCACTATTAGAATGCTGAAACATGATATAGTTAAACAACGTAATACCGAGCTACACACTATAAATCAGTGTTTACTGTACATGTATGTCATAATGATCAAATTTACACTGTTAATACTGCTGATCTGACAGAGGAATGCTTAAGAATTTTCATCGGATAAATGACAATATGAATCCTATTCAGAGTCATGGTTCTGTTTCTAATTGTCATCCCCTGTAATGTCATAAGCAAGTAACATGTTTCTGCAAGCACTCAAACTGATTTTTGGACCTATTCTAAAATACAAGACTTGAAAATGCCCTGTACTGGCCATAACACTATACTTCATTACCACTGGAGTACTGCGCAATTAGTAGTGTTTCAGTCATGTTGTTCTGTTACCCTCCTGTTGAAGTGCTTACAAATATAACATGCACACCCCTTCAGTTGCTGATGAAATCATCAAAATCTCTTCAACTATCTACTAAACAAGAAAACATCCATACGTGCAATGACAGCGTATAAAAACAAATAGAAGTCCGTTAAATGCATTGTTACTTTTATAGTAAGCAGAAGACAGAAGCAGTGACTGACATAGGTCTTGAAAAAAGCTAGCATGTGCTCAAGTGCAGTAACACAACACAATATAAAGCGAACCTCCAACCCAAAGTCTAGGATCTCCATGCAATGAACTTCACGCTGGAAATAGTTTTCACACTCTGCTTTGTGTTTTGTGAGCATGTGCTATATATCAGGAGACAAGTGCAGTTCTCAGTGAGGAAAGCTCCCACCACAGCACCTCTCTCTACTAAACTCTCTTCTCAAGCAGTGAATAAATGCCTACTTAAAAGAAACGAAACAAGTCCTTCACCTGGCCACATCATCCAGACATTCATGAAAAAACTGAGGTAAATGATAAAACCAAGAATAAAGATGCCCAGTGAAGTAATTTGTGTGCTGTTAATTTAACCATTTAATTCTAATTAATTAATTCTAATTTAATTCTAATTCTAATTAACCATATTCTAATGTATCAGTTCAGATTTTCTTAATCTCAAACCAAATTCCTTTGTTTACAGATGTCACCTAACACTTCAAATTAATTCTATATGCACTAACTGAAAGCAATTGATTATAACTGATCAAACAAAATTTGCAAATTATATAATTTGTTCTTATGAATCCTATAAAGATGATCTTACATTTTGTCACACACAACAAATCATTTTTTCTTTAACAATTTGTTGCAAACATAGCAGAAAATATATGCAAATACTGGTATTAACCTTTAAATTACGGACTTCGAAATAGTGGTAAGCTTGAGCTGGCCGGAGTTTATTTAAATGCCCGCTGCTGGTGCGCGTTTAAATGCCCGTTGCTACTCTGCATTTAAATGTCCGTTCCCATTAGGCGCTTAATCACTTTTAAGCGATGTGTTTAAAAATGCTGTATCTTGCTCAATTTTTATGATAAATGAATAGTATTAACTTTGTTTATATCAGCAAAGAACATAGTGTCGCATACTATAACGGAAGATTTTAAATTTTTAATACAAAGTGTTATACTCTATTTTCAATTTTTTGTTTTAATTTTGATTGGTACTGAAAAAATGGTTTCCCAGTTTTTCACAGAGTTGTTCTGCATTATAAATTCATTTCTGTTTGTAACACTTGACGAATTTTAGCAGTCCCTGGTGTCATAAAACAGATGGAAGCAATAAAATCATTTGGTCTTCTGCTAGCACTGCTTACACTCTTCGGATTTTCGAATCTTTTGACTGAAGGACAGAGGAATGAAAGCATGGCTATTCAAGAGAAAGCTAGAGGGGTCCCTTCTTCAGTGCTAAGACCTTCTGTTAGAGCTGCAAAAGTTTATTGCCCTTTCTATTTGAGTGAACAGACAGCTGCATCATGGCTAAGACACAGAGTGCGATCTGTTTTCTGTGCGTTCGTAATGAAATCGAATACTGTAGTATAATTTCAGCCTATATATACATCAAGCAGGTAACAACAAAAAAGGTATGTACATCGAATTTTACAATATATTTTTAACATACCTATCTGCAGAATCTGCAATAAAATTACTGGATCGTGGATAAGTTTTGGCATAACTCATACGTATATTTTTATTTGCTGTTGTTCATTTAGGTATCAATTTAATTCCTCTATTAGGGTTTTACTCAAGTCTGTCTGGTAATTACTACATTTAAAAATAACGAGTTAGGACTGTGCATGTGCTTCCACTAGTGGCGTGTGTGCGCGCTTCCACTAGCGGAGTTTAAATGCCTGACTGGCACAAACGGGGCACTTTGGCCATGACGACCTTACTCATGACTGGCACAAACGGGGCACTTTGGCACTTAAAGGTTAAGAGCATTATGAAAACCATATAACTATCCACCTCAAAGCCATCCACAAGTATAATTTAATTTCATATTGTAAACAAATATATTTTGATGAGATTAACTTACTAAACAACCAACCACCTCAACAAAGCAGAGTTTTGATAAGCTGACAGTCATTCAAATGGTCAGGAAATTTCAAGCCTTTCATGGACCTGGAGTTCATTACTGTATTCACAACACGGTGCTACTGGACTACATCCTCAACCAGGCAAATCCAGTACATATGATCACATCCTACTTCCTTCAGACCAAATTTTTCCCTATCATCCCAACTTACTTACTTACTTACTTACTTACTTACTTACTTACTTACTCATGGAGCTGAGCCCTTCTGGAGGAGCCGCCAATTCTGCAGCTACTCAAGAATTTCCCAGCATTTTATGGAACCCGAAGGTTCATTACCGTGTTCACAAGAGCCCTCCACTGGTCCCTATCCTGAGCCAGATCTATCCAATCCATACAATCCCATCCTATCTCTCTATGATCCATTCTAATATTGTCCACCCACCTATGCCTTGGTCTTCCCTGTGGTCTCTTTCCTTCTGGCTTTCCCACCAATATCCTATAAACATTCATCTGCCCCATTCGTGCTACATAACCTGCCCACCTCATCCTCCTTGACTTGATCATTCTAATTATACTTGGAGAAGAGTACAAGTTATGAAGCTCCTCATTATGCAATTTTCTCCAACTTCATGTCACTTCAATACTATGTATTTCAAGATGTCTCTTCCCGTCAGATTTTAGTTTTCAAGTCTTCATGCCTCCTAAATGTCATGCTCATCATCTCTCCCTTTATTTCATCACCTTAATCAAATTTCATGAGCCATAAAATTTATTAAGTTCCTCAGTAAGAAATTTTGTCATTCCCTTTCTTAGATCTATGTACTCTGTTCACCAGTTATGCCCTCAATATGTGTTCTTCCTGCAGGGTAAGATACCAAGGTCCACACATATACAAAACAACAGGGGAAACTGTACCTTGCTTTAATTCAATTTCATTCAGTCAAAACTTGACAGAATACTCGTATAAGAGTCAGTAGACTCTCAAGGGTTCTGACAATGGTGTATAAGGCAGAGAATTACTGGGTTTTGAGACTTTTTCCATCATCTAATAGGGAGAGCAGTTTTGTGCTCTGAAAGGAGTTTCTGTATTTTCCTCCTCAAATTCTGCTGTAGGATCCTGTGGGAAGAATTCATAAACTCTGGATTCCTGCAAAGTATTCAACTTTTCCTTGTATTTGGATTCACCAGACACTACTGTGCAGTTGCCCTTGTCTGCATGAAGAACCCTAATATCTTTATTAGACTCAAATATTTTATGGCTTTCAACTCCTTAATGGTCATGTTAGGTCTGGAAGGCTTAGTCTTCTCTAACATGGACCTGATTTTCCATCTGAACTCCATGCCCAGGCTCCATGGAAGCTTGGAAACAATGGATTCCACAGCACATACCATATCCAGGTTGGAATGTGGATAAGTTATGGAAAAATTCAAGCCTTTCAAGAAGACCACTTCCTCCATGTCTGTGAGAATGTGTTCGGAAAGACTGAGAATATATTTGTTGGAGGCCAGTACTGGTATATTCTATGCAATGCTAACTGCTGCCTGGCTATATTACCCATAACTACTGCTAACAATATAACTTCTGTGTCATTTTGTTAAATGACACATTAAAGACAAAAATTGTAAGTCTTGGCTTTTGTGTGTATATAAGGATGGTATGTCAGATGCAGTAAGTAAATTCCATCAGATTAAAAAATTAAGATTATCTATGTATTTAAATTATTGTCAGTAATTAAACTTAAGAACAAAGAGCAACCTCCCAGCCATCATAACATTAGTACAACTGTTTAACACATCTGCCACATGCAGGCCCAACTTGAGAGAAGATGAGATATTCAACAAAGGTAACATAGAACATAACATCATTTTCTCTCAATTAAGGGTTATTTCCTGCCCCACTTCAGTTCAAATTTGAATGTACAATCATTCTTCCAATTATAATCCTACTGCAGTTAAATAAATAAAGACATACAGCATGTAAAAGTGTTGGTGAGATCAACAGGAAGATGGAATTTATTATTAAAAGAATATTGAAACTGCTATGTGTTTATTAGTGTGTTTCATAGCACAACAGCAGCAAAAATTATTTACAATTTCTAATGATGTGAAAAATAAGATGAAAGAACTTGAATAGATATGGAAATTTAAATATAATTTACAAAAGGATCGAACACTTCTCAGTTTATGAACCCCAAGACATGAAAAGGGAGAACATTTTGAAATGTTGGTAACTTCAAATGGACAAAATGTATTACAGATCTTCTTTCTTGTATTTAAATCCTTATATTTTTTAGCATCATAATCCTAACTTTTCATTTTTTCTCATATTATCTAAAAGCAGAACATAACCTAGTTTCTGCGCACAACACACACACACACAATTATCACAATATGTGACATCTAGACCATATATGAAATATCAAAGACAACTGTTAGTCTCGAAAAAGACAACTGAAACCACATGTTTTAACATCCATTCTTTGTAACTGACATGCACTATAACAAGGATCATTTGATGTTTTGAATTTTAAGAGAAAATAGAATTCAGCATTGATCAAAACTGTAACTAGTACTCTTGCATATTTGAGCCAATTCTTCTCCAGATGTTTTCAATATCCAATAAACTTTCATTTACACACTAATCAGAAATGTTGTTTTGCTTCTCTTGGTTGTGACTATAAATGCATATAAGAGACACAGATCCTGAACTTACATTAAGAAGCTTCCCATATAATTCTGCATCACAATGTATAAATGACAATATGAAATATACATTTCCTTGTTTTGTGTCCAAGCAGAAATAAAACCTCAAGAAAGAAGTAAGGTTATGTATGATACACTGACTGACTGAGCTCAAAACTCATCTCAGTGAAGGCAATGAATAAATATAGAATATTGGTGGAATGATGACTGTAAGAAGAAATATGTAGTAATTGAACAAGGCTACAGAAGTGCCATGATTATCAATCAGAAATACAGCATAAAATTTTCTGAGAATGAGTCTTGGCATTTGCAATTAGAAGCTGGCATATGACAGCCTGAGCTGGTAACAAAAAATTTGTAAATTTCATACCACATTAGCACTTAACCACTTGTGGCTACATATCACTTCATTATCTGCAATGTTCAGAAATATTCACTTCATTTCTATAAAATACAAACTAATTTTTAATATTCAAATAAATCATGTAGGTTAATTTCCTATACACTTTTTTAATCACATTTTCCCACCATTCTTTCAGTTTATTATGAAGTGTTCAAGATAGCAAAGAAACATCTTATGTTAAAATTTGTGTATAGAGGAATTATTTGGTATATCAGATCTTAGCACTAGCTACAATTCCGAATGATTATTTTCTCTTAATTGATAATGTATCAACAACATGCATCTCCCAAGAAGCATTTTTTGGTAACAGCATGTCTAAAGTAACTTCATCATTCTCACAACAGAAGATCATATCTTTATTGTGTTGTCCACATTTCTATATTTTTCTCACAGTTATTAATTCATGAAGACAGTGTAACATTTCACTATATTCTAACACAAAGAACATTTCATGCCTACAGCTCACAGCAAAATGTTTACACATTATGGATTTATCAACAATTTTGCGCCCTTTAAAAGAATTTTAAACAAATATACTGCAATGTTTTCAGAGGTGTGAAAAAATAATTTTGAAATTTTTGTCATGGTCATGCCTTCAAGGTCTGTCCTGGCTTTGTCTTGGAGGCAACATGCACCAGCCAGATGCAACATGCACATATACATTTGTACCACCACAATAACAATTAGAGGTACACCTGCATATGTTTTCAGAAGTTAGGTCCCCAAAACATGCAAGATGTGATGCGTTTTGCAATGCTTTTTCGTTTGGATTTGGTTGCCAGCACTTCACGGCACGTCTACGAATCGAATGTGCTACCTGTCTTACCAGCGGGCTTGCCATTATAATGCCTATCCTGCTCAGAACGGCTGGCAGTCGCTGGAACAGGACACAAACACAAAACTCAACAATACTCCAACTGAGAAGCAAGTTCACAAAAGGCCAAAAATCCACAAACGTGAAAACCAAGATTAACTGTAGTAGCATTTCTCTGGGATTTGAAATGATTTGTCTTGATCTGTATTGGACAGATAATACTGTACATATCAGCCCACATTTGATTCAGATATAACACTTATAATCTTAGAGAAATGTTGCCTAGTACCGTCTCAGCTCTCACATGGTAGATTTGGTGCCCTTTGCATACTTTGCAACTCAGTTTATCTTAGTTCCTGTGAGCTGGGAAAACAATGACTGCACTGGAGCTAGTCTACCTTAATTCTCAATGTGGGAACAGAAATATTCACATAATAATGTATAACATGAAGATTGCCATAACATGAAATCACTGTTTCCCTGCTTCTTATGGAACCAAGTTTCATGTTAATTATTCTTTAAAAAATCATATTTCATTGTTACATTACAGTTATTGCATAGAATTTATGTTAAATTTATAAAGAAAAAGTAAATTTTAATGTTGTGTGTTATGATTCTACAGAAGGATTATATTTAATTGCAATTTCTATTCTTCAGTAAGACTACCAAGTGTGTAAGTACAAATTCCTATTGTCATGTAAAAGATGCTTATATTTTAGTCCTGGTTATACTGTTGTTAAATGACAGAGTTTTGCAACTGAACCGTGCTTCGTAATTATTTATATTAGTATATACACTTTAACAAATTCTGTTACTGTTTGTTAGAATATATATTTTTATTGTTTTTTTTATTATACCTGTTTTAGAAACATGTGACTGTCTAAGAGGGGGCACTTTTATACTGTCTAAATGAAAGCCATACAAAATGAGTATATTTCATGTTACTTATTCAGTAACTAAACTGTAGCAGAGAATGAGGTTTTGGAAGCACTAATCCAAAGAAATTATTCTTCAGCTCTGTTTGAAGTATAACATTATGTATCACTGTTGTTGTAATCACAGTTGTGCATAAAACTTGTTTCAGAATTCCTTACATTACTAAGTTTATAAAATTTGATCTGAATTACAGTATTGCTGAAAATATAGTTAAATTTTAATATTATATCTCTGCATTTCAAAGGTATTATTTGTATAAATATCACAGAAAGGGCCTTAGCTAATTGCCAAAAGTGCTAATATTATTCTGTTTCTATTACATGATTACATTATTCCTTTTATAGATACAAAACATTTCTATATCAATATTATGTTCTCCCATAGGAAAGAGCTTAAATTAGTAAACATTAATAGAAAAGAGTGTTCACTGACTAATTGTTTATGGGATGAAACCACAAGGTTTCATCTGTACAAAGATTGTGCCTCTGAGACTTTAGTAGTTGAATAACAACTCGCCAACAGAAGGCAAAACAGGGCAAAATTAAAAAAAATGAGTCCTAACAGATCCTGAACACACGGTGTATATATATTTTTATATTTACAATGAACGTGTTCAGTTTAATATTGGACATAGCAAGAACAAAGTGCATGAAGAAAATATATTTAAAATGATCATCCCATGAAGGACGAAACTTCTGCCAAAAACTTTCTTCCTTTATAAGATCTGATGCTTTCATGTCAAGTATTTATTATTATTATTAGAGGGGGGTGGATTTCCCCATGCACTTAGACCAGTTATTGGTCCATTGTGCGTCCCCCTTTAATTTATACTGTCGCCATACCCTACCAGTACTGGTGCGTGCTATCAGCCCCGTTCAGCCAACGACGTCGGCCCTCGGTACCTGATATTTCCCCCATCTACCAGAGGCATTGGAAACTACTTGGGTGGGAAACTTGTTGCCTAATTTTGCTCAGAGGTCTCCTAGAGACATGAGGATCTTTTACGTGCCGTAAATCTACGACACGGGACCTACGGCTTAAAAGTCCCTCCTGGAGGACTTGTTCCCTGAATTTTTCCACCCTTAAAAATTCCACGACCTCCGCCGGGTTTGAACCCGCGTACCTTGAGTCATGAGGTGGGAACGTTACCCCTAGACTACATTCATGTCAAGTAAATACCATAAAGCTGTCAGATATATACAATGGATTTCCACCATTTTGGAAATTGTCACTTTATCCATCATCGGGCATTGATACAGTAAGCAGCACTGCTCATCATTTCAATCCTTGAAGATTGGGACAGTTTCTGAAATGCTGAAAATCCATTCCACCCTTCTAACACAGCTGACTGCCTGAGAAAAGTTCATTCTCTTTTTACTTTCTCACGTTTACAGTATGAGAAAATATCATAAAATTAAGTAACAGACCATGAAGGCCCATAGGGTTGTAAGACGTTGAGGGTCCCACATTATCTAGACAATCAGCTCAAAGATGGCGGTAAGGTTGTCAGCGCTGGAGTCCCCCAAGGAAGCATACTTGGACCTCTCCTCTACAATTTATACACCTACGATCTGCCCACAACACCAACGACGACGACTGGCACATTCACCGATGATACGGCCCTCTTTCCCGCCCATGAAAATCCACTCCTAGCCTCGTCCAACCTACAAGAACACCTACATCTCATAGAGAAGTGGACAGACAAATGGAAAATCAAAATCAACTGTGCCAAATCCACACACACGACTTTCATGCTCCGCAAAGGTACTTGCCCCCCAGTCCACTTCAACCGGAAAAACGTCAAACAAGAAGAGCAGGTCACATATCTCGGGATCACCCTAGATAGCAAACTTACTTGGCGCCCACATATTCTCAAGAAACGCAAGCAAATGGACCTCAAAGCTGCAGAGCTCTACTGGCTGCTTGGCAGAAAATCCAACCACTCCCTTTCAAACAAACTGCTCATCTACAAAACAGTTATCAGGCCTATATGGACATATGGCATCCAACTATGGGGAACCGCATTCAAATCTACAGTCGACATCATCCAATGTTCACAATCAAAAATCCTAAGAACCATAACTGCTGCACCCTGGTACATCTCAAACCGCACTCTACATACTGATCTCAAAATACAGCACGTCATGGAAGCTATCCACCAACACAGCTCTGCCTACGTCAACAAACTTAAAGAGCACGACAACCCACTTATTCGTCGCCTATTACTGCCACCGATTAACAGACATCTAAAACGCAAATCACCGCAAGACCTATGGCTATGAGGTGAACACCGACGGATGTCGCCCACTCACGTCATGTAAGGTGTGCATTAGTTAAGTTGAAAATCTGCACACTAGTCAGCACTTTGGCTTAAAGATGTGTATATTTCTGATTGTCAATAACTATAAATAAAAAAAAAGGTTGTCAGTGTTATGCGCAGGCCGCGCTTTACTCCCCAGGAAAATTATTTAATTAATTCCTGGTACTCATTTCTGTTAGAGGCTGAGTAAACCCCAGGGCCTGGTGCGGCTGGAAGGATTAGGTCAATTGAAAAAATCTGATGACCTCATCGGGACCTTCTGGCTTGTAGCATAGCCCCTCAACCAACTACGCTACCACGTGCCCCAAGAAAATATCATAATTGTGGTAAAAATTGGTCTGAAAATTTTGATGGGCTTACATATCTTCAACATTTCTTAATACAAATAAGTGGTTTCTGAAATGTCTTCTCCCTGTGTACCTGTCTGTCTGTCTGTCTCTATACACACACTGGCAGCACCCAAACTGTTGGATGGATTTTACCCATACTGGTCATTTAAGAGTGTTGTATAGTAGGAAATCTTAACATGTGGAGGTTAATTAAGGAGAGGTCACAACGACATTTTATTCAGATAGAACATAGTAATAAGTAAAACATTCATTTCAGAATACTTTAGTTATTTTCAGGTGAAAACAAACTATGCAAGGGGAATGTGACAAATATTGTAAACTCAGACTTTCACTAATGTTATGTATAGGCCAATTATAAACTATTTTGACAGAAGAGCAGAGAAACTACATCACTCTCGCTTTCCAAGTTACTATCTTTGAAAGTAACGAAAACATCTGCTAAAGTCCGAGTAGAGCAAGGTCCAGAGGGCATGATTTTGTCAAAAACAATAGCAAGTATCCTGAGGAGTCTCTGAGCTGTTACAACAAGTGAAACACGAGGAAATTCATGTACTGACTGACATAAAGACTGTAGCCAGAACACCACACCCTCACTCTCTGAACTGGAGGAAACCTGTTTCCATGTGTGGAGCAGTAGTGTCTCTAATCGGAAGATGGATACTGCCCTGGCCTAGGCAGATTTGTTGTTTATTGTTTCTTGTCTTCCTAGTGTATTTTATTTCATACTGTACAATAAATATCATGGCAATCACTCTCCAGTGTGAAGATTACCCCAAACTGAATCTCTGCCAACCTGTCCCGCTGCTGGATACAACACTGATCCCAGGTGCGGGATACAACAAGAGTTCATCCATCATAAGTCATTGACTGGTAAATATGAATATTCCAACCCCAAATTAAGAGGCTCTTCATAGGAGCCCCAAAACTGACTCTAAAGATTTTGGTGTAATTTCCCTAATTCTGAAGACCATCTCACTAAACAAACTGTATAAAGTTATCATAAGGAAAATAACAATACATGCTCTCTGTGAGAAGATATGTGCTGTGGCTTTGCACCAGTGTTTTCTTAATTATTCAGAACTTAGTGAAACAGACTGCTGACATTCCAGTTCTTCAGAAGGGGCAGCTGTATTATGATTTGTAATTACAGACCAATCTTTTTACTAAACATTTCTTTTCCAGAAGTTTTAATTTATTATCTATGATCTTTAACATTATTTTTCCGAACACACGCTTAATTCTTTCAGCACTTTCACTTTAACCAACCTTGTTACCTATGTTAACACTATTATATTCAGTCAGTACTCAGAAACAAACTGATTCTCTTTGTTAGGCCTTGAGTTCTAACAGTAGTGACTCTGAACAGTACTATCTTCTGGGACGTGAAATCTTGTGGTTTGGTAGACTAAAAAAAACTCCGTGACTTTAGTCCGCAAGCGAACTATACCGACTGAGCG